TTCAGCCAGACGACCCTCCGATAAAGATTTGTTTTTCTTCTTCTTATCTGCCGGAACAGATGCGAGGCTTTTCCTTACTACTGACATTCCGACATTGACCTGAGCTGAACACGATCAGTCGGTTTATCAGACATTAGCAATGACGAATGTTTTCCCATAATCATTGTCTTATCAAAAACGTACTACATAGCAGAATTAAAGGCCATTCAAATCATGATCGTCAACACCAAACTCGCAAAATTGTTATTCTTTTTTATTGTATTTATTATTTGATAATTACATTTTACAAGTTGCAGGACAATATATATAATATAAGTGACTTCATAGTTAGTCGTTTCCTATCGCTTTTTTGTCCCAAAGTTGTATGTTGTTATAATAGCTGTCGAGAAAAATCAGGACACGTTTAGGTTAACACCCTGTATATCTAAAGTTCCTTCAATGCTACAAAAAGGTGATGTTCAAAGTCAAAAATGTTATTGTTATCTGAGCAATTTTTAATGTAAAATCTAAACATCTCTTAAATTGTACGGTAAATATTACAGCCCAAACCTACGCTCTTAGCAAAATAAAGCTCAAATAATTGTGGCTTTTGTGTCCGTTTTTGTACTTTGTTGTATTTATTTTTATATAGAATATATTTTTACTTATTTATTTTACTTAAATGCGCAGTAAGTTACAAGTCTGTGGGGCGTCACCTGGTTTTTTACCAATTTACGTCCACTATATGTACTAAACTGCTCAAAAATATTTGTTTTCAAAAACATATTTATAATTTATTCTTATTCTATTAATTTTGATTAAATTAACCGATATCTTCTTGTTAGTTGGATAAAATAAAATAGAAAACACAAACTAAAAACAAACAAATGTTAATCCTCGTTTTTAATAACGGATTTACTTAAGAATAGTAAACATGCAGATTATTCATTTGTTCAACAAACCCCTTTTCTCGTCTTTTGTTCCGTTTTAATCCAGTTGAATTCTCTTTAACCATGGAAAAAGTGGTTCAACTTCTTGAACAGAAGTTCGCAATATTATTTTGAGAATGATAGATACATCGAGGTCACAGGCAGGCAGCAAGTGGATATCGCAAAGGCAGTTGGCGTTTTTCAGAGCCGACCTTTAGCCCGAGAGAATGGAAGTGCCAATAGGAGGCCCGATAGTGGATCTCAGCACATTACGACGATAAGGTAGGGCAGAAATATCGCCAATGCTGCAAGACAAAACCCTTTCCATAGTGCCCGCCAGATCCTAAATGAAGTGCAAGATGTATTGGCAAGGCCTTCATCAACACAAACGATTCGTAATCATTTATGGGAAGTTGGCCTCACATCGTATGCCCCTTTGAGACGACCTGCAGCAACAGGAGAATATGGTGCAGCGAGCGCCTAGAAGAGAACACCAATTGGAATGCTGTTATATTTACTGAGTCGTGTTTCTGCCTGTATAGCAGGCGCCGAAGAGTTGACCGAGAAAGTGAATGCGTACAATGCCCAGTTCGTGCTCCCTTCTGTGCACTTTGGAGGAAGCCGAGTATGGTCTGGGCTTGGTTTACACTGCAGGACGAACTAGACTCCATATAGTTGAAGGCGACCACACCGCAGTCCGTTATGTCCAAGAAATTATCGAGCAATTCATCCCTCAAACCAGAGATCTCATTGGCAGGTATTGTCGATTTCTGGATGACAATGCCAGACCTCTTACAGGTTTAGAAAACCTGGGAATTTCCCATGTGCCCCTTCCCCCATGTCTCCAGACTTCAATCCCATCGAGCACATGTGGGATGCGTTGCAGGGAAGGCTTTTCGATCACCATCCGCAGCCAGTTGATCTGCAACAACTGAGTGCAGCGTTGCAGCTTCTATGGAGTGAAATTCCTTATGAAATTAGTGACAACCTTATGAACATATGCCAAACAGGTGCAGAGAAGTTTTAGCTAACAGAGGACATTGTACAAGATAATAATTGTTTAAATAAATTATTGTGTCCAATAAACAAAATTAAAACCTTTTTAGTAGGGAAAGTAGATACTACAAAATTGGCAATATTCCTATACATTTTTGAGCAGTTTATTTGAGGGCGTCAAATGCTAAAGCTAATACCTTATTTTTAAAAAAAAGTGGTTGTAATTATAAAAATGTCATCTAGAATTGCCAGAGAGCTTTTGTACCGCTGCAAGCTGCTTATATTGAAAACGGGATTAAATGGTCGTACGGAGGCGATTTTCTCTGGCCTTCCGAGTATCGCCTTCACGCCGTTCGGATGAAGTTTTCCTGAGGCTCCGGTGCAAATGACTTCACTTTCGAAACAACACCGGCTCGAATAGCGGTGCAAGGGCACTTGTCAGAAGTCTGCGTAAATATTTTTCCGCAATGGAAATCTTTCATTTTTACACGCGACACTGTAAAAAGTACGTTCGAACTGAATTTGCGTTAAAGTTACTGAACGAGGTACAAGCATGTAACCTGAAAGCATGTACACTGCCTCCTCTGTTAGATCGGTACTAGAAAAGTCTTCTTACACATAATCAAACTGAATTCAGCAAATCCTATAGCAAAGAAATTATGTTTCATATAATTAAAACTTTCCCAAATAAAACTTATACAACATGTAAGTAAATTTACAATAAAAATTTACCAAGAAGAACTGTATCTTCGATGAACCCAGTTTAATTTTGTAATCGAAGCACGAAAGAAGCCGGATTTTAAGGACATGCAGATAATTAATTGATACTTAATCACTTGATGCAAGTGTGCTGTGTGGCTCATAACGCTCTTTTGATCCATATGTTAATCTGGACTTCTTTTTTTTTCACCCAAAAAGTCTTGGCAAAAGATTCGTTTTTAAATTATTCAAGCCCGCGAATACACGCCGCATACCACAAATAACAACACGGCTTTTGTTGTCGTTTCTGTCCGAGCTTTATGTCAGCTCGGGCCTTGGCATTCTTGACCGTGAATGTGAATGTGTGTGTGCGTTTGTGTGGTGTGTGCGTGCGCTTGCTTGCTAAAGGAGTGGTCGGCATTTCAATTACTACTAATAATGTAAACATAATTTTTCTTTGATATTTCCGTTACATTTTATTTTAAGCCTCAAATAAAATTTAGTTTTTTTGTTTATTGGCGCATCTGTGTGAAAAAACACTACAGTCCTAAATATGGATCAAGTAAAGTTAGTTTTACTTATTACCGTTAATTTAACCTTGGTTCCATTATTAAATTACTTGGTAGTACCGAACGTTGTCAAAGAGAGCCAAGTGAACTTGGCAATATTTAATATAATGTAACGGCAGTTTAAAATTTGCAATATTTAAATAGCCCGTGGGGGCTTATCCGTTTTAATTGTCTGGACAGATGCAGTCTTCACCTAGTAATATGTTTTCTGTATTAAGTGGTCCTTGGTTGTGCATGGATTAAGGATTTATTCCCCGGTGTGGGTCCTCATTGGTAGAAGTACCAAGCGTATTATCCATATTCTATAGAACTTTAATCTGAAATCTTCGAAACTTAGATTTATAGCTGTATGACGTGAATTTTTAGTGTGTTTTCTTTCATGTATTAATAGTTGGAAATTTCTTCCTAACAGCTAGTAAAGTTCACTGAATTTTAATTCAAGTTGCTTACTTCAGTGCTTGTCCTATTTTAGCCTGCTGTCTAGTGACCATTCCTAAGAACGAGTTTTGTGTCATTACAGCACTACTAATCAAAAAATAATAATTTACTCGATTTTCCGATTAGTAAATTTACATAGAAATATTTTTATTCATTAAGTTTGGCCGAATGTTGTCTGCTACTTGCGTAAAATTGGTAGAGAAAGGGACTCAGAACACTCCCTTGAAATAGACCTTATTTTACGTATATGTGCTGAGTAATACCGTGCCTTACTCGAAATAATCTTCCCATTACATATGATGATAGAAGTCCTACAAACTGTACTAGACTAGGCCCTTCATGCCAGACTTCGAAGAAAGAAGCCTGCAAAGTTCAAAAACTGAAGCCTTATCTCATACAAAAGCCTAGTAAATGTCAAACTTTACTTTGACAACTCAAATCATGATATTTCCTCCTGTAGTCTGCGGGTTGATGAAATTTAATTTGGTAATTTGGTCGATCATTTTGGTCTTTCAGGCATGTTTCAGTATTTTGTCATATTCAGTACCCAAGGTAGTTCAGTTGTTTCCAATTAATTTTGGTCTTTCAGGCATGTTTCAGTATTTTGTCATATTCAGTACCCAAGATAGTTCAGTTGTTTCCAATTAATTTTGGCCTACCTATCATGCAGTTTGATCTGACCGTCACACAAAATCAGAAAGTAAGAAAGTTAGAATGATAAAGGATGGATCAAAAAGGTAGTCAAAGCAGGATAAAATTCAATCTCATCAAGCAATTTCCAAACAAAGCAATTGCACAATAATCACCCAGACCCAACATCAAAGAAAACAAAATGCCAGCCAAAGGGAGTCAGGCCAACCCAGGAAGAAGATGAAGACCGAAATGACAAAAATACAACTGTCATATTAGTTTTGCCCCAGTAAAATGTGAAACACCACTTCCTGACAATACACCAAACACGAAGAAGTAGACAGGCTGCTCTACTAAAAAAAGATTGTTTTTGCATTAAAGTATGCCCAAAAGTTTAAAACGGCAATTCCCAGATTTGGTCCTTTCCATAAGACAAGCCCTTTTCAAGGAGGATTGAATCAAGTTGCTGAAGAACCCACTGTAGTACTGCTCTTCAGACTTTTGGAACAGTGCCTCATACATTTCTTTCTTTTATTGAAAGGTTCCAAATCTAGAGACATTTCGACTTTTCTCATTAAAAATCCAATGAGAAGTATGAGGGAATAAATTCGCTTCTGTACTTTTAAATGTGCGTTTGAACTTTGCCAGTTGATAAACTGTACGAGTTTGAAACTGTTACTAATACTAAACAATTCAAATTACATTAAAATATTAAATTTGTAAATGAAACAAATTAATATTAAAATTATTTATTTCTGAAGCTTAGGTTTTTTTGAGTATTGAAAAAATTCTGTTTTAATTGTTCTTCAATTATTTATTCATTAAGAAAATCAGTTGTTTTGAAAGTGTCTTAAATTATCAGTTCATGAAAAGCAACTTCCTGGTTCCACGAGTAAAATTGGCACAATGGTCAAAAGTGATGTAAAATTCCTTGTAAGGATTATCCCGAGCCCGACGAGAGACTGGGATTGCATCAAAATTGAAAAAAATAGAAAGGTGAGACTTGCGCTTTTTGCAATCATTCCTTTTCTAACGACAGGCCTCTTTTCAGACGATACACATAAAGAGTTCACAGACATACTCATTGCATCCGAATAGGGCTCTCTACTGGGAGTTCAACACCGACGGCATATTCACAGACTCTTGCCAAGATGCCCTTTACACCAAAGTTATGGAGAACACGTTGAACAAGTGAGTCGTCGAATCATTTCTGAGCAAATTCAAAGACAAAGCCAATGGGTGATGAGGGGTATAACAATTGTTTTTAGAGTTTTAAACAACAAAAGTAACAGATGATTGTTTTTTTTTTAAAGTAATTTGGAACAATTGATTTGTAAAACAAAAGACATGTGACTAAAAACAATTTGCCATCATACACAAGATGATGGAATGAAAAATGTTTCATCTAAATAAAAGAAAAATATAAAAAATTAAGAAAATTAAAATTATTCAAATGACTTGAAATGGGAAATAATTAATGTTAATATAAAATTTTAAGCCATAAAAAAGAGAGAACTGATAAGTTCTATGCATAATTCCTAAAAAATAATATATACGTGTACACGGTACTAAAGCCACTAACGGCGTGACTACTATGCTAGGACCATTATTAGGCTGGAATATTGAAGCTAACAGTATATATATAAACACAAATTAAGATAAATAAAAACATAACTCAATAATAATAATTTGTATTTTAAAAACTTGTTCAATGCCAGGGTTTTTAAAGGGGTGGACATGGTAATTATAGCATTTGGACAGTCTGATACAGGTAAAACATACACTATGCTAGGACTGGAAGATGGGTACAATGTGAGTAAATTTAAAATAATAAAAAAAAAAATGGATGACCGAAATCTTAATTCCATAACAGTACAGAGGGATAGCACCGAGGATCATTAAAGATACTTTTACCATGTCAGAAAAATATGGGTTAGGAATGGAATTTTTTATACATCTATCATTTATTGAATTTGACCACAACAGATGCTACGATTTGCTTAAATCACCACCTGAGCCAGTAGAGTCTTCGGTAACGTCTCGCCAAAAAATAATAGAGCTTTTATAACAGGGAGAATTCTTTCAGAAAGTGCAAGGAGTACAAATCAAATCTATTAAAGATGGCCTAGTTTTATTATTTGAAGGGATGAAAAGAAGAAAATTTGAAAAGATGCATACTCATTGTGCACCTGGTGTAGTGACAGTTCATATAAAAGGGATTCCCGTTTCCGGGTCTTCGACTTCGACTATTTTTTCACATGTAATTAAGTAAAAACACTTATTAACTTTGTCCAATAACTATTTTGTCATTTTTGTCAGATACATCTTGTTGACTTGCCAGGCACAGAAAAACAATATATGCATATTAGATCTGACTTTTGCCAGGCAGATGCAAATATAACAAAACTCAGCATCGACAAAGCGAAAACATGGGACAGCATACTTGCAAAGCAAAATGGTGGTTGTCAAGTTATGGGACGTTGCCCTGCTGTCTTTAAGACATCAAATCTAATTCAGTTTTTAGGCCGAGCCTTGACTAATGGTGTCTTGAGGTACATTTAAAAAAAAAAATCCTTTAGAACGGCAACTAATTTTCTATTCACAGGTTAATTGGTCATATTCGTGCAGACCACAAGGACATGAAAAACACCCTTTGGACATTAAAATTTGGAGGAAGGCTTTCTAGAAAACAGCCTGGAGAGACGCTTTACACATTCAGCCCAGATTACAAAAGACTGACTCAACTTTTAGAAGTATGTCAAATTAAATTGATTAAGTCAGTCAGAGTCATAATTTGTATTTTTAGGAAGAGGTAAAACAACTAAGAAATGAAATAGTGGTTTCAGAACTTCTCAGGGGTGAATACACCCAGCTGAACATGTGCCAAGGAGAAATGGAGCATATGCAAAGGCTTGTGAAATCATATGTCGATGGGAAAATATCGGAAGCATGCTTGCTCTCAGCAGCCAAGCCCAATGTCATTTTGCATGCCCTGAAAAGAATCTATGTAAAGTAAGATTTTTTTAAATATCAGAATTTATATTCAACTGTTAAAAAGTTAAAATTTATTAATGAACTTCAAAGAATGATTAATGTTGTTTTATTCAATTGTGTTTTTAAAATAGTGACCTCTCAGACTTAAAGCAAGCGTTCAAATTTAAATTGAAAACAGTGGCAGAAGAACTGGCTAAAGAGTTTGAAGAAAAACCAACAGCTGTCAAAAAGAAAACAGGTTTTTAATACATAAAAAGAACATTCCTAGATGTATTTAACCATTTAATATTTAGGGAAACATACAAGCCCTGAAACAGGTGTCAAGGGAGAAAAAGATTCAAGCATTACACGTCACCATAAGCAATCAAATATAAACACAACAAAAGGTGGCAGTCCTGCACCTCCGAATGCTTCCTCCAACACAACTTCACCCACGTCTACTGCGGCTCAAGCAGCAAAGACAGCATCAACAGAAGGCTCAAGTCTCATAGAATTGTCTGATGCAAAAAAAGCCGAAATGGGTATTCTATATTGAATTATAAATCTTTTTTTAAGGATTACTTTAATGAATATCTTAATATTAGGAAAGTCAACAAAACCAAGGCGGCTATCAAAAACAATCAAATCCAGCCAAGAACCTATATCAATGGGAACTGAAGATATCGAATCTGGAAGAAAGGCAAGGACAGACTTATGGAAGGAATGGTCATGGAGGAACCAAGAGAAGACTGACAAATTAAATAACCTGAAGCTTGCATTTGAAAGTTCAGCTATGTGAGCACATTTTTATACTTTTTTTTCTTTTTTTTTAAATTGGATACATTGATTTTATTATATCTGACAGTGAAAAAGAAAAAACAATAAATGAAGTAACCGAAATGAGAAACCGCCTTCAAACCTTGAAAGTCCAGTTAGAAGAAGCAAGATGGCAAAGGATGATTAATTTTGGAGAACACCCTGGCATCGATGGAGCTAGGTTTGTGACCTCAACTGCCGAGCAGAATCTCGAGGATGAGATAAAGGTACATATAAATATTGTTTATGCTCAAAATAATATTTAATAAACTACATTAATTTTATTTTAATTATACTGGGTGCTTCACGACGGAGGGAGCTCTGCCTTTCTCGCCTGCACATACTCTCTGAGTGCGGTTACTGCTGAATGTGCCAGGTCCTCCATGGACACTAATCTTGCACTTGTTGGAGATACTCTGATCTGGAGACTCTTGTGAAATGGTAGTGGTTGTTGTGGGGGGGGGGTTAAATGAAGTAAAGTAATTCTTGACATACAAGAGGGCTAAGGTCCGTCCAATGACCAGTTAGTTGTCATGGATGTAGGATCAAACCACTTTACAATACTGCTTTCGTATTATTTTAAATTAAAACGCCGTGGATTCTGTGGAATTTGCAATATGAATCAGATGCCCCAACTAAACAGTCACTGTGATCTCTTTAAAATGCAATATAAAAGTATGCTAAAAAGGAATTGTCAGAGGGTCAGATCAGCAGAGTGGTTCTTACGATGAAGATCATGGTCGAACTGTGGCCCTCAGAGGATGTCAAATGTAGAAAGATTTATCCTCCCCTGATTAAGAATAGGCATTTTGGGCCAAAGCCCACATATCTGTCCAGCAAGTAGAAAAATGTTGCTTAATTTGGCCCACTTAATTGAAGAATTTCCTTGGTTCCGTATAGGGAGCATGTAGGAATGGCATGAGAATTGTGCTTTAGCATGGCAGCGAGTATTCGCGTCCCTATTCCTGTTTTTGAAAGAACCATGTTTTATTGTACATAACATTGGTAGATATTTTGTGTATATTGAGTTGAATGTATTTATTAGTGAATGTGGTTTGAGAATAGGAAAGAATGTATTAAGAATCAATCAATTATACTGCCCCAGAAGCAAGTTATTGTGCAAAAGTGATAAATTTATAAAATTACTTGAAAACAAGACATTACAAAGGGCTTTCTGACAAAAAAGCTTCACTATTATTGTTATATTCTTAACATTTTTAATTGTGATAGTTAATATTTTTAAATTTTTTTTAGGCGTTGAAGAAAAATATCTACGACCAAGTCGCCCACATGGTCACTGAGCACAAGGAGCACGTTAGAAAGTTCAATGAGTATAATACTGCTAAAATGACAGTAGAAGCAGATTTCCAAGTTAGAACCATTCAGACTACTGAGACCATTGTATTTTAATATTTTCAATATTTATTTTATTCTTTTCATCGTCAGCAATATGTCCATGGAACACAAATGCCCATGGTTCTTTTCCCGCCGCTTGAAGACATGGACGTAGTACCACAGAATCCGACTGTCATGACTTTCCAAGACAAGAAGGGCTTCAGGGAGTCAAAAAGTGAAATTGAATTTTCAATCGTACAAGCCAAACATCTAGTGCAGGTAATCAATTTAACAGATTTCCAAAACAATAATAATAAAATAAAATAAAAAACCCAATGCAATTAAACACAATTTTTTTCAGAAAAAATTCAAGCCGAGAAAGAAATGGGACATGAAATGAATGCATGGTATATGACAATGGTGTCAAAAGCCTGCACATGCCAACCTAAATCAATAAACCATAAACAAATTAAAATAAAATTTAAATAAACACATTAGCATATTTACATTATTTAAAAAATAAAATGTTCAGCCATCAAATTTGAATTAAAACTTTTGGTGACACGGTACTGCAAAATGTGAGCCTTTATAGTCAAATGTGATTTTTTTTCCATATTTCCTTGCATATTAGGCCAGAGACTTGAATTTATTATTTATTAGGGGAAGGGGAGCCTGCACCAGCAGTTCCCCACTTTCAAAAAAAGATATTAAAGAAAAATTAACGTAATGTTCCTTTGGAATATGGACAAGCTCTTACTTATATTAATGAAAGTAAAAAAAGTAAAGTAATTGTTGTCATACTGGACAGCTTAACGTCAAACTACCTATTGGGTGTCATGGACAAGGTATCAAACCACTTTACAAAACGTGCATAATATTATCAATTACGTGTGGTGATTAGTGACAATCGATAATTAGAAATCGTGAGATGCCGTCTGGTGTGATGTAGGTTTCAGAAAAACATTTTCTTTATCGTGCCAACGTTTCAATCTTTATTGAGATCATCTTCAGGGCCTGGGATTTACAAACATTGTTTACATTTAATAAATATATTTAGGATGTGAAAAAGTGAATTTATACAATGCAAAAATGTTTTACATTGTATAAATTCACTTTTTCTGAAACCTACATCACACCAGACCGCATCTCACGATTTCTGACTAAATATTATCAATTACAATGCCGTGGGATCTGCTGAGATTCGAACCCAGAACTGCTGTCCCAATAAATATCCATCCCTAAAAAAATATGAGTTGGCCATTACTTCCCTTTATTAATAAAATCACCATGGAAGGACTTTTTTGTACACTCCAAGAAAGTCAATGTAGTACTGCATGACTGACAAATTGCGTTCTAAGAAATAAATAATAGTGAATCAGCATTTCCTCCATTGAAGGTCATTTTCTGTTGAATTGCAACTAATTTGCAACTTTGTCAAACAAACAAAAAAATAAATACAATAATTAACATTAATACTTACACTAAATTAATAATCGTTTCATGCATAAAATTTATTTTTAGGTAGGCATACTTGGATTAAAATTTATTTTAAGATATTATTCTAATTGAGCTATCATTTTTATTAACATTTCTCCCAGAAGCGGCGAAGAACCACCCGTTTTCTTCATAATCATTTACATACCATCCAAATAATAAATATTCCACGTTTTTCAAGTTGGTACAAAATTTGTTTTACTGATTAAATAGAGAAAATAATAAGTTTTGCACTGAACCAACTAAATATTCCACGTTTTTCAAGTTGGTACAAAATTTGTTTTACTGATTAAATGAGAAGATTAGTTTTGTACTGTACCAACCAAAATAACAAATATTCCAAGTTTTTCAACTTTGTGCAAAATATGCTTTACTGATTAAATAGAGAAAATAATAAGTTTTGCACTGAACCAACCAAAATAAAAAATATTCCACGTTTTTTAAACTGGCACAAAATTTGCTTTACTGAATAAATGAGAAAATTAGTTTTACTAAACTATCCAAAATAATAAATATTCTCCACGTTTCTCAAGCTGACACAAAACTTGTTTTACTGATTGAATAGAAAAAATAATAAGTTTTGTACTTACACATAATAGTAATACGGTCGTTTTCCATAGAACTGAAATAATTTCCGAGTTCGCCTAGCATCAGAACATTCACATGTATAAATTTTATTTTGAGATATATAATCTGATTAAAGTGTTTTCTAAGAGATTATTACACTGGGCATTTGCTTTTATTATTGAAGAGGTGTATCAATCCACTGTAACGTTAAAATTCTGAATGTTCCAAGTGTTTTTCAGAGGCTGGTACACAATGTGTGGCTTTTTTGATTAAATACAGTAAATAAAAATAATTAATAACTTAATAAACACTTACATTTAACAAACCACTGTAGTTTTCTATTGAAAAGAATCAAATTTGCAACAGTTCGTCTTTAGTCCAGAAGAATCCTGCACTCCACATATATAAATATATTTTTATGCTTATTTAACCTGATTAATGACATAAAAAATGTTTTTCTAAATGAGTATTTCTTCTTTAAGTTTCTCTCAGATGAAGCAGAGAACCACTGCTCTTTTCCTTATAGTTCACTGGATGGATGATCCTAAAATTTGAGTGTTTGTCTTTCAGGATCAGAAAAATTCCACTCATTTACATCTTAATGAAAAATATATCCTAAACATACCTCTCTACTTTATGTAAAATAAAACATTATGTGAATCACTAATTTTCTAGGTGGGTCCGTTTATTATTTTCATTTCTTACTTTGTAACCCTACTATATTCATTTTAGTCGTCTTTTGTTTTTCTGTCTCATCATCGAGTAGATTGCACAAATCCACTACTGTAGATGGTGAAATTACATCTGGCAGGCCGAACCGAATTAAGGCGATTGGGAATGATGTATTCACCTTAACAAAATATCTCAAAAGTAGTCAGTTAAGTGACAATTGTTGACGCAATAGTGTATATCTTATTTTAATATCAGGGTTAAAGATGACAATTTTTAACACTGGTACATCACTTATTTATTGGTGAATATGATGATAAAAATTACAATCTACACAAACATTGTATTTTAGCAACTAAAAATTCAAGAAATGATGCTTTAACAAAGAAAAACATACGTGAAACAAAACAGATTTTCCAGTTAATGTAATTCAGCAGGAAATATTGATTACTAAGCTGTCTTAAGTGACATAACCAAATTGTGGAAGACAAAACTAAAAATGGACTAGTTTCAAATAGATCCCTTAATTTTTACACTTAATATTAAAAGTGATTTCCAATGATGCTTCTTCCCAGAAAAACTATAAAGAAATTTTGAATAAAAATATACTTGCAATGTTTTTGTTTCATTACTGTCAAACCTCTCTAGATACAACAGGCGACCTGTCGTCTGTAAAAAGCTTTGAAACAATAAAGTATATGTCATATTTACAAAGTTTGCATTTTGTGCTATGCTACGCTTTCTAATTAATATAGTTTTGTAAATATTTAACTCATTTTTCTTCTTTAAATGAATCCCTCGCTCTGGAGTTCTAGCCTAGCACCGAATTTATTCAGACAACTTAAAAGCACTTCTAATACTAAAAGGACATGAAACTAAACGCAATTCAAAAAAACTAAAATTAGAAAAAGAAGGTAGTTTCCCTGAATTAAAAAGAAAGAAAATGCCCGTAAATTCATTGTTATAGAAAAAAGTACCTGATTTGACTTGATGTCAAGTCCAAATTCATTAGAAGCAAAAACACTATAATGTGAGACAATGGTTCAAAATCGGCTAACGACAAACAACTATAAAAATTTTATATATGGCAAAACAATGAGAAATCAATCTCTCAGTCGCAATCATTTCACAAGTATTGTTTAAAAAATTAACCGGTTAAAAAATATAATTTACTCTTTTAAGCGGGATATAAAGTTTTTATTCCCAAAACATATTTTAATTATACTTTAGCTTTTCGTTTTTTTTTGTTCTTTTTTTTACAACAAAACAATAAATGATTATAGTAAAGAGGGGGACAAATTTAAAGATTATGGATAGCCTTATGGGTTTTGTTGCAGCTCCTTGTGGCTTGAACCAATTTACTCTATGTTGTTATGAGCAGCCCAGAATGACCTGAAACAGACAAAACATTTCCAATTATCGCAATTGATAAGACCAACCCAAAAAGATAACAAATATTTAGTGAATTTGTTTACTTTTTATTTTATATAACTCATCATATTCCATTATTTTAAGGCTATTAATAATATATAAAGCATACACAATTGGACATTTTAATTGTAGTATTAAAGTATTAAGTCATAAGGACAATAAAAAAAATTTTTTTAAAAAGTATTAAGCAATGTGGTTGTCACAAATTAAAATAAGAGGCTCATGTTACATTAACAGTAACATTATAGGCGGCAGGAAATTATTTACTCAATGAAAAGATTTTTATTATGTTATTTTTTATGCATATATTTTTATAAAAACTTATTCGACTCACTTTCCATTCTAAAACTCTAGATATTTAAAGATAACAGGAAATGGTGTAAATGGTAAATATAATAGTGGGTAGAGTAAAAATTTATGAAAAGGAATCTAGTTTAACACATGACTTTAGTCTTTCAGCCTAAAACCTGTTTTTCTAGCAAATTTGTACATTGTAACATTTAGTAATCAAATAAAAATAAACCAAATGCAATTCAATCATGCAACCTTGAAAAATGACTAACAATTAAAAAATTTAACCAATTAATATTTTATCTTGTTATTTGCTATTTTTTTTTCTACAAAAACTCAACAATAAACTGTTGTTGACTGGAGAAAAAATAAAACCAAAAGGCGAACAAGAAAATAAAAATTGGGTTGGAAAGATGATTTATTATTTATTAAAATTTATAATACTTTAAAAGATAAAAAGATTTATAAATGAAACTCACTTTCCATTTTAAAACTCTACAGATATTTAAAGATAACCTGAAATGGTGTTAAAACAGAACAGTCGGTAGAGTAAAAATTTATGAAAAGGAATCAAGTTTCAGGATGGGACTTAAACTTTAACTTAAAACTTGTATTTATTGAAAACTTGGGCACGGTAAACATTAATAATAAAATAAATTAAACAAAATAGTAAGAATGACTCCACAATAAAGAAATATTACGCATTTTATGTATTTATAATTAGGTTTTTATTGTTGGAAAAAATGCAAACGAAGAATTAAATGGTGAAAATTAAATAGTATAAGCTGGAAATATTACAACTATTACAAACACAATGCTAATAATTTAACGCATTTACAGAAAGACAAATAAAAGAAAGAAGCTGTAATTTGATCCTTTCAGATCATCTTAGTCTGCCTACCCTCACTGGGTTGGTATGACAATACAAACATTTATCAAGTACAAATAAAATGGTATTTGGTCATTACCAATTTTTTGCCATTCTGGTAGGCAGACCCAACATGGAAGACAGCAAAATCCCTAAACGTGTGTTAAAAGACCAACTCTGCAAGAATAGGCAGACTAAGATGATCTGTCAGATTCAGGTTCACCACCAATAAAAATTTTCGCAAAAAGAAAGTCCATTATCGTGTGCCTTGTTGTTTAATGTAGGAAATAAAATAAATAAAGAGAACCAAAGAGCAAGGCAATAAAAACACATTGGTTTGAAATGAAAGCTGATTAAACCGAATTAAATTGTTCTATAACAAAAAATTTCCTACAGCCTGTTGAACACTTGTCAATGCTGTAATTTATCCTTAGCCAATGACAAAAAAGGAAATCCACCAAAATTATGCATGTTTTTAATTAAACATTTGTTGACTAAAGTGGCTTTCCATGCTTTGTCTGTTATTATTCTATTACTACTACTACTATTATTATTATTTGAGTATTTTCTACTACTATTTACTATTTATTGTACTAAGCAATGTGGTTTATCTCAGTGGTCAGTGGCATCGGGTGTGACAAACAGAATCCTGGACAGACCTTTGTGGTCCGTACGACATGGAGCTCTCAGTCCTTACAAGGAAACCCCTACACCACTATTCATATGTTTAATCAGATTTTCAATGCTAAAATATGAATGTTTTGTCGACCTTGAAGGCAGAAAAAAAAAATACATTACACCAATGAGGCTGAATGCAACGGTTTTATACGATTTAATGAGACTTTTCAAAGGATCAGAGCTTTCTTACAACGTATCAGGATACAAAATATCGAGATTTTACTGTACTGCTTTTGAAAAATAAATGCTATTAGATTATGAAGGAAATTCAATTTTTTTTCTTCTCATAGTGTCTTAGGGTTTGGGCATGTTTGTACAATAAGGTTAATTTGAGTGGTTTTTCTCTGAACATTAGGAGGAGGAGGATGAAAAAATTAATTTTCTTATATGTTCTAAAAATAATTTCAACTTGATGTAATATTCAAGTTTTTCCTCTCATAGGACTGATTTAGAATTACTGAAATTTTTGTATAACAAGTTGATTTGAGTGTATTCTCTCTAGACATTAGGTCTTGGAGTAGATGAAAAATTACATTATTTTTGTAAATACTGTATATATAAATACTAAGTGTTTTTTTTTCAAATTACTGATATTAGGGTTATAGGATTTTTTGTAAGTTAAGGTTAATTTGAGTGTATTTTCTCTAGACATTAGGTGTTGAAGTAAATAGAAAAAATGGCATTACTTTATTAAATATTTTACAAATAATTTCAATTAAGTTATGGTTGAAATTCAAGGTTTTTTCTCTCATCGAACTGGTTTCAGGGTTACTGAAATTTTTGTCTAACAAGTTAATTTGAGTGCATTCTCTCTAGTCATTAGGTCTTAGAGTAAATGAAAAATTATATTAATTTTGTAAATACTGTATAGAATACTAAATACTGTATATATAAATACGGTAAGTTTTTTCTTCTTATAGAACTGGTCTTAGGGTTACTGAAATTTTTGTACAATAAGTTAAGTGAGTGAGTGAATGAGTGAGAGAGAGTGTGTGTGTGGTGTTTAGTGACCATTAGTTAATAATTATTTGGAGATCGTGAGATGGGATCAACTGTGACGTAGGTTTTAGAAAAACATTTTCTTTATCGTGCCACCGTTTCGATCTTTATTGAGATCGTCTTCAAGGCCTGGGATTTATATACATTGTTTAAATTATTCAAATACATGTAGGATGTGAAAAAAGTGAATTTATACAATACTAATAATTTTAGACTCAAAGTATTTGTACTCACTCAAAGTGTCTGTTTCTGTGTATTTTGTAAAGTATTTGTATTTCTTTGAGTCTAAAATTATTAATATAGTATAAATTCACTTTATTCCACATCCTATATGTATTTGTTAAGATAAAGAAAATGTTTTTCTAAAACCTACGTTTCACCAGACCGCATTTCACGATCTCACAATAATCATTAATTTGGGTGTATCCTCTCTAGACATTAGGTCTTGGAGTAGATGAAACATTATATTATTTTATTAAATACTTTATAAATAACTTCAATTAGATTATGAATTAAATTAAGTTTTTTCTTCTAATAGAACTGATTTCAGGGTTAGTGAAATTATTGTACAATAAAGTTAATTTGAGTGGATTCACTCTAGATATTAGGCCTTGGAGTAATTAACCATTAATCAATTGGATAGCACACCTATTTGCAGAATTTACATGCATTTAGCAACAACTTAATACAGGAATAAAACAACATCTATAGGACTGATCTCAAAAAGGACCAGTTACACCTCCACGAAAAATATTTTTAATTGAGTATTTTTTCCCTCGATAGAAAATATAATGTAAATAATAAAATTTTTGTAATATTCTAACTACCTGGAGGTAAGTATCGCTAGACAGAAACTCCCATTTTACCATTTTATATAATGTATAATGTATCTATTTGTACATAAAATTCTGTTCTGTAAATTGGAGTAAGAGAAAAATTATATTATTTTATTAAATTCTTAATAAATAATTTCAATTAGATTATAAATTAAATTTACATTTTTTCTTCTCATAGAACTGGTCTTAGGGTTATAAGGATTTACATAATTTACAATAAGGTTAATTTGAATGTATTTTCCCTAGACGTTAGGCCTTGGAGGAGGATGAAAAAAGTTCATTATTTTATTAAATACTTTATAATTGCAATCTGATGATGAATGAAATTCAAGTTTTTACTTCTCATAGAAGTTATTAGGGCTATTGAAAATTTTGTACAAGGTTAATTTGAAGGCTTTTTTTGTAGAAATCAAGTTTTGCGAGTAATATGAAGAATTATATTGTGTTAAGTACTGGGCTATAAAAGTTAATTAAAAAGCTAAAAAGACACGTTGACGGAAGTACATTATATTACTATTTCCGCCAAAGCCACGAGCAGAGTTTGAGGGAACGTGTTTCCATTTTTCTCTCTTTTTATTGGGATTTCCATCAAGGCCTGCTGCGTGCTTTGTTATAAGAGGGAGATGAAGAAAGGAAGGTGCGGGCCTCCACGAGGGAAAGAGGAGAACAAAGAATATCTTAAAATAGATAAGAAGCGCTCACCTTATTAATCGTTATTTAAAAAAAGAAGAAAGATTAGTTTTTGGGCGGGGATGTGTTTTCTTTGTTGGGCACCTCCTCCTTGCTCGCTTCGTCGAAGTTTTCGACCAAGTCCGGCACTTCGTCGTCCTCTTCGATGGTCGCTTTGCCGGTGGTCGTTCCGACGACGGAGGTCGCCAGCCTCTTCAGCTGGTTGAGGCCTTCGGGCCCGAGCTGGCTCAAGATCCCGGGCAGCATTTCCGTAATCTGCTTCGTCTCCCCGTGGCCGGTGATGGCGAAAGTGTTGGCCGCGAGGGAAGCCTGTGCCTTGGGGTTGTTGAAGTGGATGACCGTCCCGTCCTCCTTGATCATGTTCACCTCCTCGATACCCGGGATCGTGTTGACCGAGAGCTTTTTCAAACAGCTCTGAAGCTTTTTGTCGTCGGTGGCGGCCGTCGCGTGGACCACCTTCTTCTTCCGCCTGGGTGTCCCTTTACCGCCGATCCTCACCTGGGCCTGGAGCTTTTTCAACTTCTCCTGATTCATTTTGTGACCTGGCTTTTATCTCCGACGATTCAACGCTGCCTCATCCGGTCGTTAGCTCGATTCGAAATCGCGTTCCCTCACACTCTCGATGAAGACACACACGTGCTACAACAAGCGTGAAAGAAAGATCAAAATGGAGACTCACCGAACCACCACTCCTCGCCGTGCCCACACTCGATACAGACGTTCCAGGAAATGGCTGAGATTTTTATTTAGTTCATTTGGCCGTTTTTAGCCGTAGCAATTTATCATATTGTCAATTGAAGTTGGACATTTTTAAATCGTGCTCACGTTTTATATCGAAAGACGAATACGGCAAAAGACGGAGAAGCGGCTCGATCATGTTTGCAAAGCTCGTTTCCGTTAAGCGCCACCACCGTCCCTCCAACAATCAATTTACGAAATTTTTAACGCACATCTCTCCCTCTACTGTTTACTATTTGAAAAACTATACTTATTTCAACGGTTTGTCCTGACAAATAAAGTTGCAAACGTTGTGCTTTTTAAAAATAAATTAATTCATCCATTTTTCCAGACATTAAGCTCTGATCTGGTATAAATCTAAAAAATATTGTCATCTCCACTCCGTGTTCAGAAATAACAGAATAGTAAACAGTCATGGCAAAAGATTTGCATTTAAAAAATAGTTTGTCATTTTTAAGTCACTCTGCCAAGTATTTACAGATAAAGGTGCAGACATACTTTTTAAAGATAATTCCATTGATTCACTTTTCCAGGCATAAAGCTCTGATTAGCTATAAATCTGAAAAATATTGTCCTCAACTGCACTCCTTGTTAAGAAATAATGAATTGCAAATGTTCTGTGAAAAATATTTGCATCTAAAAAGTATTTTCTCATTTTTAAGTTAGTCTGTCAAGTATTGACAGTAAAGGTGCAAACGTTGTGCTTTTTAAAAATAAATTCATTGATCCATTTTTTCAGATATTAAACTCTGGTCAGGTATAAATCTAATCGTTATTGTCCTCATCTCCACTCCTCGTTAAGAAATAACAGATTAGTAAATTCTAGTTGATGTTGATCGACCTCCGTAGTTTAAATTGATGTATTGGATCTTCTTGAGGTCATTTCCTTCAAAATGACGTCAAGAAGATCCAATAAATCAAGATTAGTAAATGTTCTGGGCAAAAGATTTGAATGTAAAAAATATTTTCTCATTTTTAAGTTACTCTGACAAACAGATAAAGGTGCATACATTGTGCTTTTTTAATAATAAATTCATTAATCGATTTTTTTCCAGATATTAAGCTTCGATCTGGTTTAAATATCAAATATATTGTTCTCGTCTTCACCCCTTGTTAAGAAATAACGGGTTAACAATTGTTCTGGGCAAAATATTTGCATATAAAATATAATTTCTCATTTTTAAGTTATTCTGACAAGTATTGACATATAAAGGTACTAATGTTGTTCTTTTTAAAGATAAATTCATTGATCCATTTTTTCCAAACATTAAGCTCTGATCTGGTACAAATTAAAAAAATATTGTCCTCATCACTTCTTGTTCAGAAATAACAGAAGGGCAAAAGATTTGCATTTAAAAACTATTTCCTTATTTTTAAGTTACTCTGACAAGTATTGACATATAAAGGTGCAAACATTGTGCTTTTTAAAGATAATTTTGTTGATCCATTTTCTCCAAACATTAAGCTCTGATCTGGTACAAATATAAAAAATATTGTCCTCATCTCTACTCCTTGTTCAGAAATAACAGATTAGAAATGTTCATGGCAAAAGAATTGCATTTAAAAACTATTTCCTCATTTTTAAGTTACTCTGACAAGTACTGACATATAAAGGTGCAAACGTTGTGCTTTTTACATAAATTCATCAATCCATTTTCTCCAAACATTAAGCTCTGATCTGGTACAAATCTAAAAAATATTGTCCTCATTTCCACTTCTTGTTCAGAAATAACAGATTAATAGATGTTCAGGGCAAAAGATTTCCATTTAAAAACTTTCTTATTTTTAAGTTACTCTTACAAGTATTGACAGTAAAGGTGCAAACGGTGTGCTTTAAAAAAATAAATTCATTGATCCATTTTTTCCAGATATTAAGCTCTAAACAGAAATAACTGATTAGCAAATGTTATTTAACTATGCCTGAATTTCTTAACTGGGAACTATTGAGATTGCTTCAACCAGCCAGACAGACATCCAGTCTGTTTTGAGCCATAGAACTACAACACTTTGCCTGCAAGTTCCATTCCAAACAGCACCGTGTTGCAATATTAATGGAACTTGCACAATTTGTGTATATACTTAATGAGACTTCTTCCAGTCGTAATTGCGTCGGTGATCAATAGTTTTCAAGGTGGACCGCCTTCGAAAACCGTCGATTCGTCGCTGTGTACATGTGTTCACTAGCGCTGGAAATTGGAATAGAACATGTGCGTTTGCGCTACAGCGCGATCTGGCCTTTTCGTCGAAGGTAAACACGAAACATTCCGATTTTCCGACCATCTTGTTGTTCTTCGTCCCAGACGAATACGTGCTGACCACGGAACGTCGAACTACGTTACACTCTTTAGAGAGTGGAGACCCCGAACAGGGAGGAAAAAATCGGACGCCGCGGCGCAACGCCCAGTAACTGTTGACTTGTAGGTTTTAACAGTAGCCTTAACAAAGAAGTTTAACTCCGAATCTTTTAGAAAGTTACCAGGTATGCTTTTTTATTCTATTACGCAGCTTGCAATTTCTATCAGTTTCCTTTTTTTTAAATTTCATATGAATATTTAATAAGGAATTTTTCAAAAATTTCTATTTGTATCAACCGTGATAAGGATTTTTGACTGTATTTTTATACAAAAATGGACGAATCGGTCGAACAACCTTAAACCAGGAGCATAAAATATTTATCATATAATATATTAATAAAATTATATAATATATAGTAATGGTAAACAAGAATAAAGAAAAATCTATTTAAAAAGTAACATTTTAAAATAAATTTGCTTCCAATAATTGCTAATGTTTAAAAGTCTTGAAATGAACTTTTTATTGTCCACTTTTGACATCAGATTAGCAATATAATTGTAATGATAAGATTAGGTTTTCAATTTTTTTAAAATGAGTGTAACAGCTAAATCTGTGAGTAGGACAATCATTTACTAAAAGTGGATCTACATACTCATCCCACCTCATAATTTCTGATGACCAGCTAATATTCACAATATATATGGTAAGATCGTGGATATGGTAGAATAATAGAAAATAATGTTTAAATTTGACTGATAATCTAGCTCTGAGGAAGATGAAATAAAACCCAAAAGCTTGGCAAAGTTTCAGTGCACAACATTATTGGACTACATCTCCGATCCAGCCAAATATATTGTTAATTTCTATTAGGTTTTTTTTTCACTTTGGTATTAAAAAAAAGTACGTTATTGTATTTTTTATGTAGGTGAATGAATTTATTGGATCCTTGGTGATTCTCATTCTGTCCATTTTTTCAGTGTCCTAGCAAGATTTATTGTATAGCATTGGAAAAATAAAATAAAATTAAAAGGAAAAAGAACTAACAAACTGGCGGTCAAAATGATAATAACTGCGTTTGAAAAAAAACTGACAATTTATTGAAAATATAAGATAAAATTAAATCCTTTGCGAATAATATAAAATTGGATAAACTTAACTAAAATAAAAATGACCTTTTGAAAAATGAGATTGAACTAGCTCCAGTGTCAATTCTGACAACAATAAAAAAATAATAAAATTATTTTAGTACGTATATAGGCAGTATATATGCAATATTGATGGCTCTTCTTATTCTTCGATTTACTTATTTTAATTTTATTTCCATTATACAAATTATTTTTTCGGTTTGCGTCCAAAATTGTCTCTTCGAAAGCTCGATTCTATCTGGCTGTCTCATCTTTTTCTTCACCCATTCTATTCTTTTGTTACGCCTCCTACGGGCTGGCGGGTATTTTCAAAATTATCATCATAATTGTTAGCAATAGTATTTTGTTAATGAAATATCTAAAGAAATGTGTGGTGCTTAGTGACCGTTAATTAAAGATTATTTGGTAATCGTGAGAGACGGTCTGGTGTGACGTAAGTTTACAAAAACATTGTTTTTATCGTGCCATCGTTTCGATCTTTATTGAGATCATCTTCAGGGCCTGGGATTTATAAACATTGTTTAAATTATAGAAATACAAATGAATTTATAAAATGATAGAAATTTTAGACTCAATGTATTACACTCACTCAAAGTGTTTGTTTTTGTGTATTATTGTTACACAGAAAAAAGCACTTTGTGTGAGTACAAATACTTTGATTCAGTCTAAAATTTCTACCATTGCATAAATTCATTTTTCACATCCTACACGTATTTCTATAATTTAAACGATGTTTATAAATCCCAGGCCCTGAAGATGATCTCAATAAAGATTGAAACGTTGGCATGATAAAGAAAATGTTTTTCTAAACGTACGTCACACCAGACCATCTCTCACAATCGCCAAATAATTAATTAATGGAACCTAAAAATTAAAAAAAAAAAATTGTGACAAATGTGAGAGTTGTCGTCAGACGAGTAAGTTGTAGTCGAAGTCAAATAATATAAGTAGTTGCTTTCAGAATGAGTCCAGCTTTATGCATTGTGGATTGTCTTTATATTGAAAAGTATGAATTTTTTGCAGGAATTTGTGCAATTTTTTAGTTGCTGTTTGTTGTTTCCTGGCTTGTGTAGTGGTGATAGCCTATCTTGAATAAGACGTCATTATTCTCCTGTGAAATAGATTTGCTGTAGAAACTAAATTTTAATCGCTGTATTTAATGTGAGATAGGGACATGATGGCCACAACGGTTTAGGTGTTGACACAGTGCTCATCATTGTAAAGTAAAGGTCCCGGGTTTAAATCCAGCGGCCCTACATTACTGACCCTACCTGACACAATTACAAATGGGCTTTTTTTCAAAAACATCAGCACCACTAGGGTTCATATAACATCTTAGTCAAAATACCCTAAAAAAAAAAAAGAAAAAAAAGTGATAATGGCTGCAATGGTTAAATCGCTGACGCGGTGATTCATCACAGGATGCAAATTCAGGGCTGCTGGATAACATACAAATTTCAATTAATTCTTCTTTTTATGTAAGGTCTTGGTTGAGCATTGAGCCGAAGGTTGTGGGTTTGAATCCCGCTCGTGACACTAACATTTTCATCTCAACCAGACCCTACATAAAAAGAATAATTAATTAAAATAAGTAATTTGGTAAATTAGACTACTAAACATAAATATATACTTACAAATGACTTTTTTTTATCCAAAACCCAGCGTCCCGGGGTTCATCCCATAGTTGAAACTTGAAAGTGCACTTTTAAGGTGTGCTCTGGTCGGCTAGTGTAGTGGCTATGGACTTGCCTTGGGCAAGACTTCACTACTCTCTTAGAAAAATACAGATTACCATGCAAACAATATTTTAATTATATACTTATTATGTGATCCTATTTTAATTCTATTCTTATTATGTGATCCCAGGTAATTCTCAAAATGTCCCTTCTTCCGTGACCTAGTAAGATATATTGTTAGGAATGTCATTTTGTAGTTAATTAGTTTTCCTTTGAAGATGGTGTGAAGCTGAAAGGTATTTGAATGAAAATGTAAACCAGCAAGAGTAGATCCAGTAAAGTGATGGGTTCAAGTTTAACATTTATTCACCAACTTGTAGATGAACAAACACCACTTAAGCTGTTCTAACACTGGAACTGTCTACATCTGATTTTTGAACATCTGTATATACTTACACTTGAACTAACTGTATACATTTGATTAGTTTAGGCTTACCTATTCGATCCCAGAAACCTAGGATATTTTGTGTTCTATAAACACCCTAAGGCTTCACTTCTAAGAAGAAGAAAATTTTCATTGCATTGAAGCTTACATAATCTTTTTACGAAACTTATAGAACTCAGTATAAATTATTTATATTTGTTCTAAAAAGAAATTAAAAAATTAATTAAAAATTTTAGAAAAAAAAATAGTTTGCCTGGTTTACCTTTCCTATAGCTAAACTTTTCTTCGTTTAGCCTTTTGATTTGACATGACCATTGTTTATTTTGTTTTCTGTTAACATTTGGTATCCATTTTTTTTATCGTCTTTGATTATTGGTTTTAAAAAAAGGGTGGGCAGAGAATTTTTCCTTGCGTGATGTGCATTTGTTTATCTGAACCTTATCTATAATTTGTACCAAACCTGTCAGACCTTTCCAATTATTTTTCATGTGTTCTTGTACTGTTAACCAGGGCCACTGAAGTTCATTAAATAATTCTTGAATTATTAATTCTGGATTAGATTTCTGCCTGCATACTGCACCATCCAATTTCATGGGTCTTCCAGATCGTAAAGCACCGTCCAGGTAAAATTTCCCGACAATGTTTTTGAAACCACTGTTGACATGTGCACACGGCTATTGCTGTAAACACAACATTTTCATTTTTTTAGCCACTATACATGATATCTTTCTTTCTTTTCAAATGAAAGGATTTACAATAAAACAAAAACAAAAATTACTTACTCAAAATTATACCGTCCAACTGAAACATAAAACAGCATCAACAAAAATAAATTCCAGTACTGTAGATATATATATTTATATATGTAATTTTAATTACATTACAATTATGGCTTTTCAGACCAAATAAATGTTCTACATTTTGCCATGTGAGTTATTTGAAGAAGCATTTGTGCTTGTGTGAAGTAGGTGGTACATTTGAGACAGGAACATTATGGTAGTTGAAATTAATAAAATAATAAAAATCGTTTTGAGGAAAAAGTCATTAACAGTCAATACAAACACTTTATATTTGGAATGGAAAATTGAATTGGTTATCTGTTCTGACTTACATGAAAAATAATTTAGAAGGAACTTTTGTGATTTAAAAAATAAAAATACAAAAAGTTAGCTAATTTCAAAAATTTTGTTATTACAGTGACAAAATATCACCTATATATAATTTTATGGATTAATAATAAAATCTGTGTTTGTAGGATGGTGAGAGGATCAGCTGGATCAGACAGCGAGGAAGAAAGACATGATAGGTTTAGGTCAGAGAGAAACAGTTCAGCGCTTAAATCGACAACATCGCTGTTTTCTTCTGGTAAATATATGAATATAAGTCTGGTCAACATTACAGATCGTATATTAAAAAACGTTTTAATCATAGGCCTTGACAGTAAAAAATCGCCACTGAGAAGGTTAGACAGCCCGATCAGGGACTCCAAATACAGGAGGGAGCGGAGTAGAGAAAGGAGAAGAAGTCGAGAAAGGAAAAAGAGCAAAGACCGAGACAGGAAAAAAGAGAGGAGCAAACGGTCTGACAGGAGCTCAAGTAGGACTACACCTACTTATTACAATGTGTTGGAAGAACTCAATCCCGGGAGACGAAGCGAATCGAGAAGGAGCCATAGCCAACACCGAGAAGAGAGGAGTAGAAGTAGGAGGAGCCGAGAACGTAGGAGCAGGAGTAGACACAGTGATGGAATGACTAAAAGTAAATCACACAAGCATAAAGACCGAGATCATGTAAGCTAATTTTAATTATAATAAATATAATTTAAAAATATCAATAATAAATTGTTATAGAACATTTGTGTGTTTATAGGTTGATACATTTGTCGAAGAAAGGTTTGAAAGAAGAAGACCGTCAGATAGTGAAGAGAGGGTTGATAAGACTGTAGTTTATTGGGAAAGCACTCCCAGTCCGGAAAGAGAACCGAGAAAACATAAAAAAAGAAATAAAGATGATAAAAAACGAAACAAAGACAAGAAAAAGAGGAAGGAAGAAAAGTCAACTGTGAGCGAATCTGTTGACTTCGGCCCTGTGCTGCCTCCTCGATTAGAATTAAGAAGTGAAACGTCCGAGGACGAAATTGTACAAAACAATCTAGACCGGAAAGAACCGCACATCAAAAAGAAGTCAAAATCTTCACCCAAGAACTCAGAAACTGATAAAAAAAAGAAAAGAAAAAAGGATCTGAGCCAATCGCCACCTAAAAAACTCAAAGAAAAGTCACTGGAACCGAAAGTTGAGGAGCCAGAAGAACAAAAACAATTGAAAGATGATGTTTTAAGTTCACATTCTTCACCAAAATCACCGTCCTTAGAAATTCCCAAGGAAAAAAGCATCTGTGCAAACAATAGTACAGATTGTAATAATACCCAGCCTTCTGTTGGACCTCAAATGCCCACCCAAGAAGAGGAAAATACAAATATTTATGGACCAGTTATTCCTAGTAAGCATGTGTGATTAGTTTTCATTCTTGTTTTAATTCCATATAAAAATTTAACAAAAAAAAAAAAAAGTATAGCTAATTTATAAATATATTTATTTTGGTATTTTTCCCCATTTTATTTTCATATCAGAGTAGAATAAAGATTTTTTTTATTTTCAGTTAATTCAGTGAAACAAGACCAGGATGGAGATTCATCGCTAGAAGAAGGAGAGCTTGTTACGTCGCCAGTGAAGCCAAAGGTTTATGGGCCAACTTTTCCTGAGCGTCTAGCCATTGAGCCTGTTCGTGATGATGATGGAGATGAAGATCTGTACGGGCCTGCATTGCCGCCATCGCTTAAGCACGACGAAATAGTTCAACAGTCTGAAAACAACGAAGAGGACTTCGGGCCTCTCCCACAAGGGGTCGACGGTGGTAGAGCTCTCAGAGATCTCGAGAGGCGGGCTGCCATCATCAAAGCCCAAATGGATAACAAGGTAAATATTTTTTTCATTAATTTCAAATTAATTAAAATATAATTTTTTAAACATTTTTAGGTGAGTGTGGGAGGACGAGATAATTTTGGAGCCCGCAAGTTTTACACCATCCTCCAGCGGCTAGTTAACAAAACAATATACACCCTCACCGCCTCCTCTTTGTATGTTAAAATAGCTGTTGTAAAAAGCGAAGTCGTTTAGGGATATTGTCGTGTTTGCATCTGCATCCGTCCTTCTCATGGTGGCCGGAGCTGGTTTTCATTTCGCTCGGAGCGCCGTTGCACTCTGAGGAGAATTCTTTGCGTGTTTCTGTTCTACCCGCCCTTCTCTCTTGTTTGTATGTAAGTGTAATGAGTTCTCGGGAGGCGCAACCCTTCCATCTTGGGCTAAGAACGTTAACAGACAAGGTGAGTCCTCTTTCAAAATCGCCAATGAAAATGAATCCAATTCCCTTATATTTTTGTTTATAGATAGTTGCAAGTTTGGTAAAAAAAAATTGTGTTCCTAACAATTAATTTATTATTTATATTTTCAGGCCAGTAAAGTAAGTTTATTTTAATGATTAAATACAAAACCCAATTTTTTAAAACTAAATTATATAAAAATCAATCTCTAAATCTATTTTTAATGTTTAATTATTGGGTTGTCTGGAAAATAATGCAGATTCATGATTTCTTTCAATTACCCCTCTATATAATAAACTGAACGTTTAGTGGATTATTCTTTTGTACGAATGTCAACACTTTAATCCTCTTCCAAACAAAAATGTTTATTTACCTCAGTGGCATTTCATTAGTTTGGAATAATTTTTCATTCAGTTTTTACTTTCAGTTGTAATTTTGTTTTAGTAGCTACAGTGCCCAAATGGCCGGAAATATTAATGATGTTTGGAGTAAGGGCAGTGTGAGCGAGAGCACTGTTCAGAGATGGTTTAAAAAAATTTTGAGAGGGAGTCTTTAGTCTTGAAGACAAAGAAGGTCATGGAAGGATTTCTTATCTAGATGATGACGTTCAACGAGCTTTGGTCAAAGAAAATACGAGAACAACTATTCGAGAACTTTCAGAGAATCATCGACCGACACTGACCTCCTTAAGGCAATTCGAAAGGTGAAAAAGCTCGAAAATTGGGTTTTCATGCATTAAACGAGCGCCCAAAAAATCGAAGTTGTGATGTTTGCACAATATTTCTCTTCCGAAACAGAAACGAACCTTTTCTGGATAGAATTTTTACTTTGACAAAAAGTAGATTTTCTATGATAACAGAAAACGTTCTGGACAGTGGATCAACAAAGGTGCAGCAGCACATTTTCCATACCCCCCAGCTAATCAATAAATGATGGTGACTTTGGTGGGCTTCATTTTCATTACTACAGCTTCTTGAATCCTGACGAAACACTCATTGGCGAAATGTATTGATCTTAATTTGAAGCAATGCAGAAATTCGCATTATTGAAGCTATCTTTGGCCAATCGCAAAAGGGTGATTCTGTTACACAATAAAGCTTGCTCATGTGATAACATGAAACCTATTGAATCTTGGTTATGAGGTTCTTCCTCACCTCCCTATTCTCCAGACCCCTCGTCTACCGATTACCATTTTTTCAGATATCTGGACAATGTTTTATAACAAAAAAATTTATTGATCCAAAGTCATTAGAAAATATGTTTACAGAATTTATTGATAATAAAGATTCAGAATTCTATTCAGAGAGTATGGAGTAAGTTATTCAGAGTGATAGAGGGCATTTTAATTGTTAAAAAAAAGTTGAAATCATTTGTTTTTATTTTATAATCATAAACCTGCATTATTTTTCAGACAATCCAATAAAATGTTAGGTGTGAAAATTGTAATAAAATAGGGCAGTTTTCTTTATAAATACATTATTATGATGAATATTAAAATTATATTATTACTATTCATCGTTAGCCAACAAAATATTAATTTCTGCATTAGATTTAGTTGAATCTATTTTGTTTAGTTTTCATTTTTTATTAAATTATTTTTGTAATTACTTACATAAATACTACAAAGGACCGACAGTTTTTACAGATTAAGGTGGATCAAAATTGCAGGCATCAAAACCCAAAATTTCTTTAAAACAGTTTTCACTTTAATTGTTTCTTTAATATTGTATGCTAATTAAAACAAAAGTATGAATCTAATAGTTAGAAAAGTTGTTTTGTGAGAATGATCTTTAAAATAATTTTGTTCTATTTATCTTGAATTTGGATCAAATTATAAGGTAATAAGTAGAAGAAGGAATTACAATATGTACTAAAAATATTTAAAACATTAAATACATTTTAGATTACATTAATAGTAGAAACAGAAGTAATCCCTTAATATTTACAGGGTTTTTTTGCATTGTACTAAAGGGGGTTAGATTCCATGATAACAAAAATTGAGAAAAAACGTAGAAGTAAAAAAAATGTTTTGAATATTAACGTTTTATGATGTTGACGCAAAGAAAGTTATGTAATCAGTGATCTTTCTGTTTTGCTGAATGATTAATTTTATTCAAAATTTCCATATATGGATTTGATACAGCCTCGACATTCCTTTTATATTACAAACTTTGATTTAGAGATGGGTGTAAATCTATTGCTTTTTGAACTAGTTAGTCCTTTAGAGTGAAAAACATACTAAATAAGTTGTTTTGATGTTGACAGAAAAAAAGTTATATCTGTTCAAGGCTTTACTTTAAAGTTTCCTGAAGCTTTTTCACACAACAATAAAGAAATACAATCTTTGACTATCTTGAATTTTGAAACATTTATTTCTGATTTACAATTGCTCGATTCAGCACCTTCCAAAAGATGCCTTTCCAACACTGTGCATTGAACACGTTGGGGAGAGTGTTTTCTTGTCTCAATAATTGTTTTATGAATGGCCCGGAAATATTTTTACTGTTCCGTGATCAGCGGAAGCCAATTTCCTGGCCAATATACGGAGATGTTGATTTTTGAAATTCTCAAAATATTCATTCTCTGCTTGCTTGGAAGTCAAATTTGGAATGAAAATGTTTACTAATCTTACTTTTTTTGGCCTTTGCTGGAATCGTTGCTGAACCTAGGCACTCTCTTTTGAGACTTATCTTCCTTCCATATTCCTGGGCCTTATCAAGCACCTTGTTCCAAATTTGAGACGCCCTTTTTGATGAAGCTGCTGAAATAGATGGCAGGCTGTTCCTGATGGACTTTTCTTTGCACTTGAATGAACATGGATCGTAAAAACGGCCAACATAAGCATTTTACCCCAGTTATCTCCTAGAGAACACTTTTTGTTTTGTTTTGGAAGATAATTGTGGCACTATTTTCTCAACAAAATAAAACAAATTGAAAAATTAAAAAATGGAAATATAACGAGAGACTTAAGTTTCTTAATGAGAACTATTTTTTTCCTTGAAAATAACCAGGTCCAGGCTCCTGCAAATGTTAAATCTTACCCCATCTTTTATACATGAATAATATGGTAAAAAATTGTGAATGTTAAGGGATGTCCAAACTGTTTTGAGGAGTTTCTATTTCTATTTATCGTTTTTAAACTTATTTCTTAATCAGACCTTATTTTTCATTTTTAGTGATCATATCTTTTGTTACTTATCTTACAGTTACGCTTACAAAAGTTAGGCATTGAATCTCAAGTAAATTCAAATTTATTAAACTCATTTTTAAACTAATTAATTATAAAATAAAGACTGAATATCCCAGAACTAATCAGATATGTTTTTACAGCATAAAATTGACCCAACCGTAGAATTATTCTGTTCTTTCTTACTTCCTTATTTCTAGATTTCAAGAAAAAAAAAGAAAAAAAAAGAATATCATTACAAACATTATTAAAAAAAAGAAGAGAAAGTGTTTTCATTTTTACGTTATGATAAAATTGAAATATGAATTTTTCACCAGATCCAGGGGCACCTCTTAGTTTAAAAAATATTATTTCATAAATGGACTTACCTTCATACAAGGCAAAACAAAACATGCACATTTTATTAATAGGTTCATTTGTGAAATAAAAATTCTTAAGGCAGGTTAACTCAGCAAGCAACGACAGTAATTCATAGGATTTAATTCATATTAAAGTCTAGTCTACACACCCTTTACAACTTGCAAACACTTATGGAAATAATTTGAGTTGTCATTATTTTTTTCAAAACTTATCTTGTAAAAAAAGTTGTAATCATCTAGAAAGTCATGGTTTAAGTTATAAAATTAACTTTATCAAGTGTGAAAAAAAAATCAGTCTTATTTACAAACAATCCATAGAAATATTTATAACCTAATATTATTGTTTGGCACTATTTTATCATAATTTGTTGTATTGTCCTATTTGGGGCCTAGAGGAGGAGGTGTAGTGGATCTTGAAGGGTTGGTGATGAAATGTGAAAAATCTGGGACAAGAAAAAAAATGGGAACGTTTAGACGAGAGCTGCTCATGTTTGACAGGATACGGATGAAGGCGAAGAGACTAAGAGGGAGGCGTGGATGACAGAGCTACCCGAGGCCAGGCGGGTCGCCCTTGGCCTCGGGCCGAGGAAATTCCGTGCTAGAGAAGGGCCTGACATGAACGATAGGTCGAGCTGGAGTGACACCCCTGCACAGAAAGAAAAGAAAAAATTATTATCGGCTGTAAGTTTTTTGTTTTTTTAACTCTTATAAATATTTTTTTTAATCATTCATTTGTTGTTCCAATAGTTTGGGGAAGAGGAGAATGATCCAGATGAATCCAGGCGATTGGAGATCGAGGAACGAGATAAGGAAATGGAAAAAAGGGCGAAACAGGGGAAGAAACGGGACAAGTCGTTGCTGGAATTGCATCAAAAGGAGCAGAAAAAGAAGAAAAAAGTTTGTTATTTTCTAGCCAAAATTAAATTATTTTTAGTAACTCACTCAAAATAGATAGCTACGTTATCTGTACTAACATAGATTCCTGTTGGGGGCTATTGGTAGAGAAAAATTAAACTAAAAGTGTTACACAAATGTGTCACAAATTTTTTCAGCCAAGAAGCTTATGGTCCAAAACGCTCTAAATCAGGCTCTAAAGTTCATGATTTGGATTAGTTTTGGATCGTTTTTGCTTTATTCAAACATCAACATGGGTGTCTCTGAAACAGGGTAGCCAATTATTACACTCAGTGCGATGACTCACATCTCCAGAGCACCCTGCCAGAAAATAAAAAATAAAACGTGGCCTAACTGAATCAGAGATAATTTGTAAACGAAATATAATGAAGTTAAAAACAAGTTAGGATGTGTCTGGTGGCATAAGACTGGGGGATAAAAGGAATCAGAAGGGATAAATAAACAAAAACAAAAGAATTACAGTTGACAACAGGTAGCAGGTGAAGGGACGATTAAGTAAGGACTACCTTAGGTCGTCCTCCCTGTCCCGAGCCACTTTAGTTTCTTTTCTATTTCTTTGAGCTGCTCTGTCATTCTTATGTGGTAGCCTCTCATCCAGCATCCTATGCGTTTGACTCACCCAACACAGTCTTTTTTTTAATGGAATTTATGTTAGCTTTGCTAAAGAGCTGTTCAGGCTCATCCATGTCTCCTCATATTTTGTAAAAGTAAGCAATTCCTGACATACAGAAGAGTACGGCTCAACTACCCATTCGGTGTCGCGGATAAATGTCAAGCCACTTTACAATATTTTTTTCATATTCATAATTATAAAGCCATGGTCTATGCCAGAATTCAAAACCAGAACCGTTAGCATGGCAAATATGAATGGAATGCCCTAGCCACTAAGTCACACCTTCCCTCACCCAGCCTCAAAACTTTATATATATATTCCCCCCCCCTTATCATTAGTAAGTGTATTATCTTAAGATTTGTTTTGTCTCGTTTCCTCCGTCCACTTTAAAACCTTTACCTTAATTTAAATTTATTTTGTTACAGATATTTATCATATAAATATATTATTTATATATTTATTTATTTTGTGTTTCAGAAAGAGGAAAAAGAAAGAGATGGAAAGAAGGAAGATAGACGGCCTTTCAGCCGTGATATTGACTTGCAGGTGAACAGATTCGATGAAGCACAAAAAAAGTCTATTATCAGAAAAGCCCAACTGCTTGACAGTAGATTTTCAAGTGGCGAAACAAAATATCTGTAGTCTAAAAGACATTTTAATCCAAATGTATCGATTTATCTTTTTTTAAAATTTAAGTAAATTGTAAATTATAGCTCTCCTATAAAATAAAAAATGTGTATATTTTACTACTGTCTGTCTTTATTTTTTCTTAAAGTAAATTATTGTATATGTAACTCCATTTACAATGAAAAGATGGAATTAACAGGCTATTTTTTGCATGTATTGATTTTAGGATTTTATCATTTGCTGGATACACTTTGACTATTAACTAGAATTTCAATTTCACCTAAAAGGGCAGCAAATTTTTTCAGGAAAGTAATTTTCTTATGCAGTACGTCCTGCCTTGCAGGTCAGATGACCAGAGGTTGGAACACTTTGTCACCCCCAAAGACGTTGACATGCTAAGTCCAAAGTTGGTGGATTATGTAAAATAATTATTAGATACGTCATGTCTTTTTAATAAATGGTTGTCTTGGGATTGCAGTCAGATGACGAAGAACTGTGTAGGTCTTCTGCCATGGTTTTCTTAATTGAGACTTGATGACTTGTTAAATAATAGTTGCTTTGGGATTATAGTTAGATGCCAAAGAACTGCATAGGTCTTAGCCCATGGTTTTCTTAATTGTGTTATAACTGTTTACCATTAACCAACCATTAACTAATAGATGCTAATGCTAAGATGTTTACTAAAATGTAGAAGAGTTTTCATCCCTAACTTCAATATTGACACTGCAGTTTGGTCGTTATGCCCATTTTGGACTTTCTATCGCTGTTTTAGTCGTAAGAAGCGATTTTAGAAGTTTAAGTAGGGCGAGGCGGTAAATACTTGGCATCGTTGAAGTTGGCAAAGAGCTGATGCGTCTGACATACCAAAATGTTAAATTATAGAAGAGCCAAAGTAAAGGTTCATCATTCCCAAGAGTAAATATCACAATAATGGGAATATTTTATTAATTAATACTACGAATGGTAGTCAACCAAGTGATTTTACAAGTTGTCTTGAACCTGAAGGGTTTTGCTTATATTGGAATACTTCTATATAATTTTTTTCTTCAAAAAACTTGCTCTTTGATTGAGTTTTGATGAATTAAAAGAAATTTTTTTTTGAACATTTTGATTTTGAGATAGAATGCCTCTGGTTGATAAATATTACGCGACCGCTCTTTGCAACCTCCATTCACGCTCGCTTTTTTAGGTTACAAAATGTGCTTTGCCCACGTTATTTTTAAGCTGGGATGTATTATCGTAATAATTTGACCGAATAACTGATGAGAAGGCGTCCGATTTATTTTAAATTATCTGACAAAAGGTAAATTTTATTTTGCTATTTTTTACTTCGGAACAACGCCTCATCATGGATATGTTCAACGTTTTCGAGCAGAGCTCTTCTAACAGACCGGACCAAGAAAATGGTAAGCAGGAGAACAGGTTGGCCGTTCTACTCGGGAAGAAGAGGGAGGCCGGAAAACCGGAAGAGACGAAGACCAAGAAGAAGAGGCCCTCTGAGAGGAAAGAAGAAGAGCGGGCCATGGAAGAAGATATCAAGCAGGAGGATTTCATTGAACCGATGAACTCAGTTGAAGAGACAAAGTTTAAAATCGACCAGGCCAGGTGTGATTTTCTTTCAACATCATCCGTTGAGAGTCCTCACATCAAAATTCATGTCGTAGAAGCCCTTGAGCTATGCCTTCATGAAGTCGCCATCCCTCCCGGCATACCGTACAAACCGTTAATCAGGCCGAAAACTCTCTTAAAAGAGTATAAATTTCTTCTCGATCCTTTTCAAAAAGAAGCGATCATGTGTATAGAAAATGACGAGTCGGTACTAGTTTCTGCGCACACGTCATCGGGAAAAACAGTCGTTGGCGAGTACAGTATACTCAAGTCATTGAAATTAAAACAGAGGGTTATATACACGACTCCGATCAAAGCTCTTAGTAATCAGAAATACCGAGAGTTTCAGGAGGAGTTTCAGGACGTTGGGCTTATAACCGGTGATGTGACGATCAACCCTTCGGCTGGTTGTCTCATAATGACGACTGAAATTTTGCGTAATATGCTTTATCGTGGGTCCGTCATTATCAAGGAAGTGTCGTGGGTCATCTTTGACGAAATCCACTATATGAGGGATAAAGAACGTGGTGTTGTCTGGGAAGAGACGCTTATATTGTTACCTGACAATGTACATTACGTATTTCTTTCCGCTACGATCCCAAACGCTCGACAGTTTGCAGAGTGGGTCGCTCATATACACAACCAACCTTGTCATGTCGTCTACACAGATTACCGCCCTACACCTTTGCAGCATTACATATTCCCTGTCGGTGGAGATTGTTTACACCTTGTTGTTGATGAGAAGGGCGTTTTTAATGAAAGAAACTTTGAGCTTGCAATGAAGCTGATAAGCAACCCAGGGCTGGTACAGAAAACAGAGAATAAAGTAAAAAAGGGAAGGTCGAATGAAGGGAAAGAAACAAGCTGTTTAAAAATTGTAAGAATGGTCATGGAGAAAAACCTCGCACCTGCGATTATATTCTCTTTCAGTAAAAAGGATTGTGAAGTTTATGCCATGCAGATAGCAAAGTTAGACTTTAATACGTCAGAAGAGAAACGCTTGGTGGATGAAATTTTCCAAAACGCAATGGACATTTTATCAGAAGAAGATAGAGCCTTGCCACAGGTGGAAAATGTACTTCCCCTTTTGCGAAGAGGCATAGGAATCCATCACGGTGGACTCCTTCCCATACTAAAAGAGACGATTGAAGTGCTGTTTTCTGAAGGTCTGATAAAGGCATTATTTGCCACGGAAACTTTTGCAATGGGCCTCAACATGCCGGCAAGAACTGTTGTGTTCACAGCCACCAAAAAGTTCGACGGACACGAGAGCCGTAGTATCACTTCAGGAGAGTATATTCAAATGTCTGGGCGTGCTGGGAGAAGAGGCCTGGATGATAAAGGGACTGTTATCGTCATGATGGAGGAAATGTTTGGACCTCTTGTTGGCAAGAGTCTCTTTCAAGGAAAAGCTGATGCACTTAATTCTGCTTTCCATCTCAGCTACAACATGATCCTTAACTTGATCAGAGTCGACGACATCAACCCCGAGTATCTTTTGGATAGGAGTTTTTTCCAGTTTCAAAACCATGCAAACATCCCTGTTCTAAAAACAGAATTAAAACAGGTCGAGGAAAAGCTCGCTAATATCGAAATCAAGCATGAAACAGATGTTTCAAGCTATGACCGTCTTGTTAAAGAAAGGGAACAGTTATATAAAGAGTATGTAGCTTATATCCACAATCCAGATGTCATTCAACAGTTTTTACGACCTGGGAGATTGGTAAGGATAAAAGAAATGAAAAAAGAAGAAGACTTTGGATGGGCTATGCTTCTCAGCTTTAAAGTTATCAATTCAAAGAAAAAGAATCCTGCCCAGGAACCTGCAACACTCACTATTGATGTATTGCTGATGATCGATCCCTCATCTAGCAATACAGACCCAAAGAAATGTCCAAAAGGAGTGACAGGAAAGCTGTGTGTCATAACTATGCCGCACACCAATATAATGGAGCTTAGTAGTGTATGCGTTGTTTTGCCTAAAGATCTGAGAACTCAGGACAACATGGCAACCGCTTCTATGGCGTATAAAGAAGTAGAGGAGCGGTTCAAAGGAAAGTTCCCAATATTAGACCCGGTGAAAAACATGAGGATTCAACAAGAAAGGTTTTTAGAATTAGATCAGCATATCAAGAACCTAACCAAGAGAATAGAAAACCATAAAGCGAACCAGTATTCCGATTTGGATAAACTACTTTCAGTTTTAGATGAAAAAAATAAATTATTACAGAATAAAAATAACATTAAGACAGAAATGGAAAAATGCCTTTCGCTCTTACACATGGAGGAGCTGAAAAGTAGGAAAAGGGTCCTGCGTCGATTGGAATTTTGCACAGAGACCGACGTGATTGAACTCAAGGGAAGAGTAGCTTGTGAAATAAGCAGTGCGGATGAACTTCTGCTCACTGAAATGCTCTTTGCTGGTATATTTAATGATCTCAGTCCCCAGAATGCCACTGCCTTGCTCAGCTGTTTTGTGTGTGAAGAAAAAGGGACTAACAACTCCAAAGTACCTGATGAGTTGATAGCTCCGCTAAGGCACACCAAGGAGCTCGCCAAACGGATATTGAACGTTTGCGTCGAGGCTAAGCTTGACATAGACAAATCCGGTTATCTGGAGCAGGTCCGGCCGTTCCTAGCCGAAGTCGTCCTGGCATGGTGCAACGGTGTATCCTTTATGGAAGTCTGCAGAATTTCTGATACATTTGAAGGCAACATTATACGCTGTCTGAGACGGCTTGAAGAGCTTTTGAGACAATTTATTCAAGCTGCAAAAACTCTAGGAAACCAAGACCTTGAAATAAAGTTCAATGAAGGCATCCGCATGATCAAACGGGACATTGTATTTGCTGCAAGTTTGTACCTGTAATATAAAATTATAATTGTAATGACAATTTGTGAAATTTTGTTTGTTTTTAGTCATACTTTTAATCTTTTCAATATGATGTAAATTGATTATGGCTAATGTTATTTTTATAAATGTGGTTTTAATATTTCTAATAAATTGAACTATTTTTGTTTTATCTGCTATGCATTTTTTTCTACCGCCCATAAAATTATTAAATAATTTCCAAAATAATGGTGGTGTAGGTTGATATGCTAGTAGATGATCACATATTAACTGACCGACAGTGACTGTCAGGGTTCAACATCCACCAAAATAATTATGTAAAATTATTAATTAGTTGGTAAGAAAGCCAAGTTTCATTTTGAAAGGATGAGTCATTTTCTTTTCTAAATGTTATGATAGTATTTAGGAGTTTTATTTATTTTTATATCTTTAATAGGTACTGCCTGAAACCTTTTAAGAAATAAAAACTGGTTAAACAGTTCAGAAAAATAAAGGAGTAATTTTTATGAAAAATACCACCATACCTTAACACAGAGCATATAATAGGAACTGCACTTGACTCAACAGTTGCATTTGACTATAGCTATTTTAGGCTATAAAAATCAATCTTTCACTAAAGTATAAATACACTCAATTCGTTTGTATAAACAAAATTATATATTTTTGATTAATATAATAGTTGTTTGGTAGTGCAAGTTTCTAACAAATGGCTGCAGCAAGGTTGAAGCGAAAGGAATTAGTGGAGATAAGATCGCTAGAAGGTGAAGAAATAAGATGTGAGATGATTTTTTTCTTTTACAGGGATAAAAAATATTTCTGTGGGCCTATAGTCATGATGGGATGGTGCTGATTAATCGTCTTAACAATGTGGCACTTTAGTTTGCTGAATGTCATCCAAAAGACAATGAGACTGACCTGTATGTTGAGGTATTAACCTTAAAAATAATGTGTGGTGATTAGTGACCGTTAATCGATAATTATTCAGAAATCGTGAGATGCTGGTGACCGCATCTCACGATTTCTGAATACTTAAAAATAATAAATTTGCTGGACAGTAAATAAGTGGAGTTCTCCTATTTTTTAAATTAATATAAAAAAAGTTTGATATTTTTATTTTATTAGAATTGTTCGTTGAAGAATATAAAATAAGGCACATTTGAAAAATATTAAAAAACGAGCTATTAAAATTCACGTATACCATTTGGCAGAGCATTAATAAGTTAATGTTAAAACCTGTTGGTCAGGTATAACAAGCGTGGATGCGAGAAGTGACAGGCTCAGCCCCCGTACATGTAGTACATCAATGCGCAAAGTTGGGCTTATATAAATTGGTAATCAGAGCTAAAAAGCTAGACTAAAAATTAACTTATTTTGTCAACTTATCAATTATTGATAAATAAATATGATATATAAATAATAAATCAAGGAAATAACATTTATGTAAATTCTATTGAATTTTTTAAAACGAAAAGCCCGAGTTTTGAAAAGGATTATGAAATTTTGGTCATTATTCTTTAAGAGAATATATTATTATGTATATTGAATATCGAGGGCAGAATTGTAAGATTGAAATTCTAGTCTGATTCAGAATAGGCACACATTTTAACACTTTTGAGCCAACATAAGCACGTGTGACTAACGGAGGAATGTGCTGCTACACAAGTATGTGAACTAAATCTATGAGCATTCTAATTTTAAAATTTTTCAAACATCATTGGTAGTAAGATGAAATTTCTGTTTTACGTAATTTTTGTAGTCACGTATACTTTGGATTATTCTATGGTTGTGATGGAAAAGCAAATTCAGTTGCTGCCAAGCATTTGATCTGTTTTAAGGCAGGGCAGGGGGGCCGTGGTAGCCTAGTGGTTAAGGCGTCAGACTCTCGGCTAGTAGATCCCGCGGTCGTGGGTTCGATCCTCACCGTCGCCTCTGGACTTTTCTGACGCCTAAGGGGACCGTTGGCCGCAATTGAAAGAAATTGACACGGCACTCATAAATGGAAGGGGTGGGATCGGATCTCAGCGACCCTGAATTTGGTCCCAACCCCCTTCAAAAATGAGTTTCTTCGATGGAAGAACACCCGTTCAACGGGGGCTCAAGTTCACATTTGTGTTGTGAGCCCTCCCCCAAAAATATGGAGCCAGGGATAAAGTACAATAAGCTGTACAGCTCAGCTGCAGTGCTCAGGAGGGGGAAAAAAAAAAAAAAAAAAAAAAAAAAAAAAGGCAGGGCAAAACAGTCTTAAATATGTCTTCAGATAAGCATAATTAAGTTTTTCATAAAGATTTCAAATTTCTTTGAAGACTGACAGTCCCAACATTGCCAAGGCTGTGTCATAGTCCTTGACAATGTTGGGACTGAGTCGATTTTCAAAGAAATTTGAAATCGTCTGTGAAAAACTTAATTATATTAATATGTAGACATATTTAAGATTGTTTTACCATGATGATGACCTTAAAGTAAGTTGAATGCTTGGCAGTAAGAACTGAATTTGCTTTTTCATCAAGACTGTACTGTGGGTCCAGAGTATTTGTGATTAAAATGAAACCGACCTGGAGGACTTCATTCAATAATGGGCCTGGCTTACAGGATTTGATAAAACACAGGAAACAAATATATGAAAATGAAAAGTCATTTTATGTACATAAAAGTCAAATTTAAATAAATTCATTATTGTCTGTCGCTCTATTTTTTGTTTAGAAACCTCTGTGAAGAGTTCTGTACTTCATTAAAGAAACAAAAAATCTTCCGGACAAACTATTATCAAAACTTGGTCACAATAGATGAAAGTTTAATTGCAAACCAGGAAAATCCCTGTGACTCCAAAAGGAAAAACTTAAAAACCTTATATTGTTGCTATTTAAATATGTATAAATATATTTAATTAAAAAAAAAAATAAATGGAATTCCAGAATTTCAGAAGCTTAACTAAATTAACATTAATTTATAATGAGATATGAAAGTAAGATGTTTATTATGAAAGAACAATTAATTAATGTTTATTTTTGAATTTAATAAAATAAAAAAAATCTATTTTTCCTTAGCCATTCGGGAGGAATAATATGTTCTTTTTCATTTTAGCTTGATAATTTGTAAAACAATATATGCTTGAAATTTTAATCGTAATATTTTTTTGAAATTTTTTTTTTGGGGGGCAGTTTTGGGATTGAAAATGATTATATCTGTCAAGGGGGGAAAAAAAGGTATCATATTACAGTGAAAACTTAGATGTGCATTAGTTACTGGGTGTATCTAATGTGTAAAGGAGGTGTTATGTAATCTTCCTTCTTTTATTTATTTTGTACCTTTGTCCAAGACAAAGTTATAGAACAGTCTTTGATGTGAAAACTGGTTTGTTTTGTATCAATTTAATGACAAGTGTGTTGGTCATCCCAAAAAATAAATTTGTAATTTTTTACTAGTTTCGCATTAAGAATTACAGAAAACAAGAGGAATTTTCAGAATGGTGCATGATAGTAAAGTGGATTTTGAAAATGTAGGTATTACAAAAACGCTTTTAACATCAAGTCTTCCCTCAAGACCTGATTATTTTTATATAAGTAAAGTCCACAAATTTTGTTGTTGTTTTGTTTTCAGAAAGAGGCACTTCAAAGTCTTACTCGTGATAAAGTGAATTTATCGTTGTCTTGGTACAATTTGTCCGTTTATGTGAAAACAAAAAAGAACAGGCTTTTTAGAAATGCCATAATGAAACAGATAATCTATAATGGTAATATTTACTTAAGAATATATACAGAAATTTGCTGAAGTTGTGAATGAGGAGCGGTCAAACATGAAGTATTATAGAAAAACATCTTTTCATTTTTTGCTGATATTTCAATTTTTATTTGGATCATCTTCAGTGCCTAGATAAATTAAAAAAAAAACAAAAACATGTTGATTGGAAAAAATCGGTCATAATTGACCATATTAATTATTTCAATTAATTATTTGTTTTATCTATGGTATCGGTTGAGATGAAAAAGCTAGTGTCACGAGCGGTATTCGAACCCATGACCTTCGGTTTGGCCTTTGAAAAATGGCAAAAAGAGGGAAAATTTGAAAGGTTGTATGTTGGGATGAGGAGTTTGTGTCCGAGTAGATTGAAGTCACAATAGGTGAAGTGGTAGAGCAGAGGTGAATTTAGCCGAAGGTCATGGGTTCGAATCCTACTCATGACACTAGCTTTATCATCTCATTTTAATTATATTTACATATTTTATTTTTATTTAGAATCTCAACCAAGACCTTAAACAAAAATAATAATTAATTGAAGTAAATATTAATTTTGAACCAAGTATTTCATACTCGCATAAAGTGTAGTGTTATTCTTCTTATGACACCACAAGAACAGTACCACACTTTATGTGAATATGAAAAACTAGGTTCAAAATTTATATTTACATCTATATTGTATTCAAACAATATATGTTTTATAATTCATCTAGGCCCTAAACATGACCCGAATAATGGTCAAAACATAGGCAAAAAAAATGGAAAAGGTTTTTTTTTTTAAATAATTTATTCCTGACGGCTCCTCACAACTTCAACAAATTATTGAACAACCCGTCACTAAAAAACACAATATATAAAGTTTTATTACAATCTGGTTTATTTTTTTGAAGGTTCTGGTGCCGTTCGGACAGGGCAGATTGTGGGTCTTATGGGTCCAAGGTAAAACATTATTATACAATAATTAGAATAATAATAATAAACCTTTTATTTGTATAATGACAAAAGTAATATAAAATACAAAAAAATACATCTTTTTTGCAATCAACTTGGACTGTTATTACAGATTACTATTTTATAATATGCTCAATTCCCACTTTTGAGTAATTTACTGTAAACTACTGGCAGTATTCGAGAATCACCACCTTGGGTTTGGCCGTCTGGAGTCAGAGCTCTAGGGACTGTCATTTCAGCCCCAACTCAACCCAAACCTACTCACTATTAAGTACATTCTTTCTTATGTAAATTCACACAGGGTGGTGGAGTATCTCCACCATCACCCTTCAACATATAACTAATTTAATTAAAGGGTTGATAGGGTACTCAATATTCTGCCATTGACTCTCTCACACTAGACATTCATGCTAATAAATACATTCAGTCACAATATACATTAAAAAACCCAAGATGAAATATCTATAATGTATTAATTACAGTCAAACACTCCTTTTCCCTCCAAAAATCAGAACAGGGCTCAAGTACAATTCTCCTGTTGGGGTACCTACACGCTCTCTATATAGAGGCAAGGAGCACCCTCCAATTAAGTGGGGCACATAGAGCAACCTTTCTATATATGCTGGACACATCGGCGGGCTTTGGCCCAAAAGTATGTGCCAACCTTGCATAGTCTATTCTTAATCGGGTGAGGATGATCCTCCGAGGCCCACTTAACGACAGTGTTCTTGATAGATGACAACTTATTCTCCGATCTGGCCCACCGACACTGCTACTTTCTTTTAACTGTATTTTTATTGCATATCTAGTTATGATTGATGTCTGAAATTTAACTTCTTTTGTTGTTTTGGTTTTTGTTTATATTACTATTTAGTAAGTAAAGTTGTATTTGTAGATTTATATTGGTGATTTACAATTCATTGTTTGTACTGCATTGAATTGAAAATTATGTTTGTTCACTTATTTTATTAGTAATTTGCCTTTTGATTGTTCAATTATTATGTAAATTGAGATATCTATTTCAACGAGCAAATTTAAGTTAAGTTCAATGTAAAACAAATAGATGGAACATATTGACCACTAAAATAAAGTTATTCGAAGTAATTAATGTATAATAAATTAGAAGTAAGTTAAACTTATAAACTATTGTATTAGATGTAAGAATGGTCCTTGAGACCAAATCTTGTGTGATTGATAAATAAAACATTCATCATCATCTCCCTCTTCTCTCTCTCNATATAAATTTTCTTCATTTACAAATTCCTTTGATTTTGAGGCAAGATCACAGGCTATCAACACTGGGGCCATAATTTCTCATAATCATTCCTCGGAAAGTCCCATTATATGTTATTTTATACATATTTATTATTTTAATTAATGTAATTCTGATTCTTCAACAACTTCAACTTTCATTTATTTAAAAACAACTTTCATTTAAAAAAAAGTTATTTTATTTATTATGAATAAATTTTATTTGTAGTCTGAATTGCTTTTGTTTTTATTAACAGTAGTTCAGGAAAAACTACTTTACTGACAGCTTTGGCTCATCGATACCAAGGTTTGTTGAAACAATATTTAATAATAGAGTATGTATTCCTTTAATATTGTTTTATCATTTAAAGGTGGCATGGTTGTGGAAGGAGAAGTTAAACTTAATAGAAATATAGTGGACAAGAGTTTGAGGCATGTTTCTGGATTTATGTTTCAGGATGATTTTTTTCTAAAAGTACTGACTGTCAGGGAACATTTAATGTTTTCGGTAAGTTAAAGTAAGTAATTTTGTTATTTTAAAGGAAAGTTATGAGTTATGATTTAGGCTAGGTTAAAAATGGACAAAAAGACATCAAATGAAGAAAGAAAGGCAAGAGTAGAAGCACTATTAGATGCACTAATGTTGAGAAAAGTAGCAAATTATCGAATTGGCGGTTTGGCACAACAAGGCGAAAAGGTATTTGGTATTATTTTTCTGTTGCTTTAACCAACCTCGTCCAACAGCTAGAGAAAAAATTCAAATTTATTTCTTGAAAAATTAAATTTAATTCTTGACTTGGTGGTCTGGGACTAACAATGTAGTACCGGAGATTTAGTAATTATTGCAGTACTAAAAAAAATGATTGTTTTTAACATTTCAGGCATTATTGTCAGGAGGAGAAAAGAGAAGGCTGTCTTTGGCTACTGCAATGATAAATCTTCCCAAGCTGTTATTTGCCGATGAGCCAACTACCGGCCTGGATTCTTATAACGCCCATCAAATCATTAATCTTTTAAAAACTGTTTCACAAGCCACTGGCACACCGGTGTTATGTTCAATTCACCAGCCCATGCCTGAAACATTTGCACTATTCGACAAAATTATATTGCTTGCTGAGGGTCATTTAATGTTCAGTGGGGCACCAGGAGATGCTGTTAAATTTTATAAAAGGTTAGCAAGAATCGTTGAATTGGCTTGATATACAAAATTTTTAACGTGATATTTAGCTGTGGGTTTGAAGAGGATAAATTCATGAGTCATGCTGAATTTATTGTGAACTGTATTTCACCCATTCAAGGATCGCATATGGAAAACAAACAGAAGCTGGAAGTGTTGTCAGATGAATTTTTCAATTCGAAATATTACGGTTTATTCAAGGAAGAAATAAATAGTATTGATAGGCTTTACGTAAGTCCGTTGTAATGTAATATTATTTTTTAATCCAAATGTTATGATTTTATTTGATTTAAAGGAAAAAAGTGATCACATTTGTTCTACAAGCTTGTAAGTAAAAAGTGAATGTTATAATGACACAAAACATTAGTAAAATATTAATTTCATAGCCATGGCCAATACTGGTTAAAGAAGCTATGGCTGTTGATCTGGAGGAATTCACTCGTGGAAGTTAGATCTCCAGAAAGACAGTGGCTTACTATTTTACAAAAGCTTGTAAGTCTTGATAAAATTATTTTTTGTTGAAAAAACTATTAAAATATTTTAATTTTACTTTCAGAACTAGAGAATTTTTAATTATTAATATTTTGTAGGTATTGGCGACAGTGTGTGGGCTTTGTTTTTCTACAATCTCAAATGCAGATCAGGATGGAATTCAAGGCGTTCAAGGGGCGATTTATTTGTTAGTTACAGAAAATACATATGCGCCTATGTACAGTATAATGTACTTATTTGTTAGAGACTATCCACAGTTTGTCACAGAGTACTACAATGATACTTACTCTGAGACAACTTTTTACATTGCAAAAGTGATTTCAACCGTGAGAACTGAATGTGCAGTTATTTATTATTTTCTCTTTATTTTGTCCCATTACAAATTTTGTGTGTTCAATAGATTCCTGGGTATGTGCTTGAATCGTTGGCTTTTACGTTGATTTTGTACACAATGGCAAATCTCAGGCAAACGATTTATGCAATCCTGATGACACAATTATTTGCATTTTTATGTATAATTATTTCTTCAGCATTTGGTATGCTGTACAAATTTTTATATATATATATAGATATTTTTTTATTAGCCTTTGTTACAAATTTTTATTGTTTTAGGTACATTATTTTCAAATATTTTCAACAGTGTACCGACGGCGATCACATACATGGTCCCAATAGATTATATAATGATGATTACCGCTGGTATATTCGTTCATTTAGGGTAAACTTTTTTTTAAAAGGGTGAGTAAAAAAGTGACTGTTCTAAGGATTCAATAATGTGTAGGTAATAAAATTGATTATACATTTCTAAGAAATTATTTTCAATTATGGTTAAGGTTAAAAGTCCTCTATACAACCTTACACACAATGACCAATATTGGTCTATTATAGAATCTCCATTATTATCTAAGCTCTTTGTTAAGCTTAAGACTTTCTATCAGATTCCAAAGTTTTGGTGCTATTGTTCAGCCAGCAGTTCTACTATCATTAGTACTAACACGTCTTAGGTTTAGTAGTTATGCTATTAGTTTCTTTGATGATCCTTTAATGAACTTTTTTGTATGTCTCTGTCCTGGACAATCCCACTGAAATGGGAACTTATTCTTAACACAATGAAACCTATTTGGCAATAAGGATGCCACAAAAAGGTTCAGAGTAAATAGGTGTCTTCATTGAACTAACCTTGGCCAATTTATTGGCCTCCTCATTGCCTCTGCTTTTTGGGCTCTGGTACACAAATAAGGGCAATTTTGTTGTTTTCCCCAATGTCTGACGGCTCTGATGCAATTTCAATCTACCCTAGACTTTATTATGAGGTTGCTGCCTTTAGTGCTTCGTGTTCAATCATGATAATAAAGATAGTTGTTACTGGTTAATTGCCATCTAGAAAACAGTAGATCTTCATTCCTGGCAGTACCACCAATCTCCGGTGGTAATCTGAACGAGCAGTACCAGTATGTGTATACATAGTACCTTCTGGAACAACCTGATAACTTCTTCAAAATTTTTATACTGATTGTTTTTGGTCATTTTTGTCTGCTTATCCTTGCTGTTTATCCTCGACTGAAGATAGCAAAAAGTCAAAAATTCCTCTGACACACCAAAACAAGAAGGCAGATCAAAATAATTGGAAACTACAAGTTCACCACCTCACAGATATCAAAAATCAAGAAAAAAATTCCACATTACTTCTAAAAGCAGGCTACTTATGTCTAGCCACTAGTGCAGGTTTCTTTTGGTAAAACATTCATTTCGGATGTATTTCAACCAGCATGTTTCCAGGTGAATTGAGCTCATGTGGACCTTCTCTACATCCTCTTTCAACTAACTTGCAAGTTGAAGAGTTTTATTTTGCAAGATGAACCCAAATATTATGAGGAGTTCTGCTGTTCACACAGCTAGTTACACTGAATTTATGATTTTTAAACCATCGCCACAAAGTTCACTCTTCAGTGAGTGTACCCTCCCTTAAAATTCATAAACCAAACATGTGATATTTGGTAGCTGTATTTTTTAATCCTATGGTGTTATATTACCAAAATTTCATACATTAAGGGCTTTTTATTAAAGAATGGTTTTTAAATAGGATTCAATAAGTAAAAAAGTAAAATGGTACTATAACTTCAAGTCAGAATAATAAATTCGGTAAACATTAAAAAAAAATTGAAAAGCAGTCATATTTTTTTCTCACCACTATAAAATAATAATTTCAACTTACTTCTTGGTCATAAAATCTAAAATTTTAGATCTTTAAACTGGGCACTGCAATGGTTAAAATATTGTTCTTGGTTCTATTATGTATACGAGTCTTACACCATACTTCAGTGGCAAGGGATTGAACAAATAAGTAAGTTGTAAAATAACATGAAAAAAGCAACTAATTTTTGATCGTTTTGTTTTATAATTTTCAAAGGTTGTTCAACAAATCATACTGAAATCCCTTGCTTATCCAGTGGAGATCAAGTGATTGCCCATTACAATTTTTTCCCTGGCAACCTTGTTAGAAATGTTTATGCTCTAATTGCCATGTTTTTATTAATACATGTAATTGGGCTATTATTTTTTATAAGGAAAGTCAGAAAGATGTAAAATTGATAATAAAGTTTATAATTTTTTCAGGTTGAATTTAATAACCCCCATTTTCCCATTTTATACCTCATGTAGAATTCTGGCTTTTTGTCAAATGTGTTTTTTGATTTAATGTTAGAATATATTTAATTAAAAATACATGGCCAGGAAAACCCATTGGGAAAATGCCAGAAGTACTTCCTAGTATATTTTTTTAAACATACTAAAGATAGAAGTATTGGGCTTAGGACTTCTAACAATATCTCTTGTCGTAAAATAGAAACCAAACAATGTTACAAAACATTCACTTTCAGCCCTAATAATTAAACTGTACGTAAACAAAAGCATAAAATTCCAGAAAATTTAAAATTGAGCTCTAATGACAAGTACCTAAATAAATATGTTGGAACAAACATATGTTAATCTTACAATTATAAAACATTATTTCAAGTAAATTCTTATAAGTCTGTTAAATCATTGAAATAATGTGTGGAAATAGTTAAAAAAAATAATATTGTATTTTGCAACTGCTTAATAAATAAAAACTCGCATAATAAATAGTTATTGTGTGTATATTTTACAAACACATATTTATACAATTATAAATTGATTGAAATAAAAAGTCAAGCAGATGCTGTTAATTTTGTTAAAATAGTGTAAGAGAAACAGAGTCGCAGAAGATTAACATGGATCCACTGGCGGTAATTTGTGACTGTTGTTTTAATTGTGATCCTCTTATTTAGTATTTCTATTTGTATCTCTCTTTTCAACTGATTTTATGTTATAAGGTCTATTCTGGTAGGTTCTAATAGGTTTAAAGGTCTGCGAAATTGGGGTGTAAGCCATGCAATAATGGTTGTATTTTTTTTTTTTTACTTTGTTTAATTGCTGCTAACTTTTCCTTTTTCACATTTCTTGTCCCATTCTAGATGTCCCACAACCCACCCTTCCGCTGCCATCATTACCGTTACATTAGTTTACTGCGTTAACTTTCAATTTCAATTATACAGCAACAAAGTTTGCCATTTAAATGTGTGGTATTTTTGTCATTTAACTTCTGTACAAAGCAGGAAAACTATAATATATTATTTTATGGATAAAGGTATTCTATATTGAAATAGGATGCTTAAATAATCTTTTAAATTATATTTAAGGAGACAACGCTACGAAAATTGACTCCACAAAAAGCAAATTTATCATTAACTTGGACTGATATATCTGTTTATATTAAAAGTACGAAGTTCAAGTGCTATAGATACGTAACTACAAAAAAACAAGTTATATATAATGGTAGTATTGGTTTTTAGAAACTCTTAATGATTTTTTTAACCAAAATTCTTCTAGGTGCTGGTGCTATCCATCCAGGGCAAATTGTAGCTCTCATGGGCCCGAGGTAAATCTAAAAAAAAAAAATCAACATGTTTGAATATTATGATGCATGTTTATTGTTTTCAATGAACTGATGAATTATTTCAATGTTAAGTCCAGGGTGAGACAGGAAATACTTTATTGATGATGAATTTTTAGGTTAAAGGAAATCAGGTATTCTGTGGTAGTTGAATTTATTTAGAATTGGATGTTTCAGCATATAAAGCTCATCTTCAGCAGCCGAAGCATAATATTTTGAGACACCCAGCCATCAATACGGTTCGTTTCAAAGTTATAAAACTTTATGAAAATAACTAGGATTTTATTTACCCAGATTGTCAGGGACATCCATTGGTTAAGGATGTCACCTTCAGATGATCAAGCTGCGACGCCCTTCACAGAGAAATATAGACAAAATTTTGTAACTAAAAAGCTTTATCTATAACCTCGACATGAACCATATCTAATGCAGGGGAGGGGGGTTATATGCTTGATCTGCTGAAGATAGGCTTTACAGCTCGAAACACCATTTCTAAATTAATTCAACTACTACGGAATACCTGGTTTACTTTTTGTTCCCTTGTTAAAAAATTAACAACTTTAGTATGATTATTTATAAAGAGAATTTTATCTTTATTTATTTATTTTTTTAATGTAGTGGTTCAGGTAAAACTACTCTACTTACAGCATTGGCTTATAGATATCAAGGTTTGTAAAAATGTTGTTTTATCAATGATGTTTGAACTATGATGAACTCTCTAAACTTAAGGTGGGACACTTGTCAAAGGAGATGTTAAACTTAATGGAAAAAAAGTTGATAGACGGATGCGGAGTATTTCTGGATTTATGTTTCAGGAAGATTTTTTTCTAAAAGTTTTGACAGTTAGAGAACATCTGACATTTACAGTAAGTCCAATTGGTAATCCTTGCATCCAAGCTAAGTTCGTGACATTTTTTTTGCCCATCCACCTCCCTGTTGTTCCCATACAGGTGTGCCTCAGCCAATATTTGTATTAAAACCTTGAAAGGGGTTAGGGGTGCTTCATATACTTTTATGGGCTCTTCATTTGAGAAGAGTTCGTAAATAAGTTATCATGTTTCATTTTATTTTAATATGAAGCAGGCTTCCTTTTTTCTGTGAAATAGGAAAGCAGCAGCTTGCTTATATTTGATTCCTCTTAATTATATGCTTTGTTAATGTTTATATAGTATTTTTAAACATTAGAAATGTGACAATTTTTGACTGTTAGGCTAAATTGAAAATGAGCAGATACTCAACAAATGCAGAAAGAAGCGAGAGAGTCGAGGCGCTCTTAGACGCTTTCATGTTGAGAAAAATAGAGGACAGTTACATTGGTGGAATTCCTCAACAGGGTGAGAAGGCATGTAATAAGAATGGAAGGCTTATTTAAAATTATAAGACCAGTCATGTAATTTTTAATTTCTTTTATTCTGATTTTGTAAGATGATTTTGCATTTAAATTCAAGAATGTATTGTTTTATATTCGACTATTTATTTATAGGCCATCATATCTGGTGGTGAGAGGAGAAGATTGTCTTTGGCCACAGCAATGATTAATCTCCCTAAGCTTATATTTGCCGATGAACCGACGACCGGACTCGATTCGTTCAACGCCCTTCAGATCGTCCAGACCTTGAAGACAGTTTCAAAAAATACTGGTGCACCCGTGATATGCTCAATTCACCAGCCAATGCCAGAAATATTCACCCTGTTTGACAAAATTATGTTGTTGGCCGAAGGCCGTTTAATGTTCAGCGGGACGCCTGAAGAATCTGTCGAGTTCTATGAAAAGTATGTTAAAAATTTGTTAAAATTAATTTATCCAATAAATGTAATTTGTTTAGTGCTGGATTTATTGAAGAACATTATATGAGCCATCCTGAATTTATTGTCAAATGTGTTTCACCCCCTCAAGGAGCTGGGGAGGCTGAAAATGCTAAACAAATGGAAATTCTATCACGCAAATTTTTCAAGTCAAGCTATTATGCAAACCACAAAGCATCAATAGTGGAAATTAAAACTTCAGAACAGGTAAGTATTTGAATTTTAGCTAATTTTGTATATTATGTGTTTGTAAATTTGTTTTCACAATAATTTTGTATTAAGGGAACTAGTTGCGAAATTTATTCATTCATATTGTAAGTGTTTAACTATTCTGAAATATGAATTATTCATTTTAATATGTATATTTTGAAACCAGTAAAGGCCCATTCACAATTAAGAAGATATTCGTGTTGATTTTGAGAAACATGATAGTTCAATTGAGGGAACCAGAAAAACAATGGCTATCTATTGGAGAAAAATTTGTAACATCCATTTTTTATAAATTTACAACAGAATTTTAATGCAAATTTTAAAAAATTTCAATTAATTAATTGTAATAAGACAAAAAAAATTCTGTTTGAATTAAAAAAAATCATGAAATTTTTGAGAGATTAAGACTTTAATTATTGTACATTTATAGATACTGGCGGTAGTCTCAGGCTTATGTGTTTCTGGCCTTACAAGGCAGTTGGATCAAGATGCAATTCAAGGCATTCAGGGTGTGCTATTTTTGCTGGTTACTGAAAACACGTATGCGTCGATGTACAATGTCATATACATGTTTCCTAAAGAATATCCACAATTCATAACAGAATATTACAACAATACTTATTCAACGACAGCATACTATATCGCAAAGGCTATTTCATGTGTGAGCTTTGTTGTTTTCTTTTATACTGATATAACTTTTTCTTAAGTTGTATGTAATATTTAGTGACTGTTAATTACTGTTTTTTTAATTTATTTATTTTAACAATTAATTCTAATATTTCTAAGTTTTCTTTTCTTGTACGTTTTTCTAAACTGTTTATGCCATACTTATTACATTTAATGATAGTATCAATTTTTAACTCCCTCCGTGCGGTTACTGCTTTCTGATACATGTCTTTGAGGACCCTCACGTCATGCTCTTATTATACACATAGCATGAAATTGAATGTCTTAGCAAAATGGTGGTTGTTGTATGGGTCTACACATTGGAGGATAATAAAAAGGTGGACAAGGCGGTTAAGGCCGGGACCAACCTCCAGACCTGACAGCCATCATACAGCCCTCTGGTGCTAAAAAATCAATAAAAAAAGAGAAACTCTTGTGTTTCAAGAGCTGGTTGATGGTACCTCGGAAGGTATGAATCGAAGAAGAGTGATCATACTCATCCGACTAAAAATAGGCCATACTATTATGGCCATTTATAAATGTCTATGTGTCTATTAACACATAGACATTTACTTTCGGGGCAAAGCACTTGTTTGGCATGTAAGGAAATTGACGAATGCCATTCCTTGGCTCCTTATAGAGAGCGAGTAGGAATACCACATGATAGAAGAATTGTACTTGAACTTAGTAGTGAGTCTTTGGGTCTCCCTGTACCCATTTTTGGAGGAAACTAGGCTGTTTTATTGTAAGTAATACTTAGGTAGATAACTTGTTTTTGTATATTGAGTGTCAATGTATTTATTAAAATGAATGTGAAGTGTGAGAGGGCCGATGGCCGAATATTAAATATCTATTGACCCTCAATTAGATTTGTCATATAGTGTGAAGATAATGAAGGAATATAGAGTACTCCAACACTCTACTTGAGGGAATGGTAATAAATACAAAATAATTTATTTAAGAATGAGCTAATTGTGTCATTAACAGTGTGAGTTTTGAGCCCTGGGGTCTAACTTCAGCTATAGGATGGATAAGACCGAGGTTTTACTCCAGACTGCCAAAAAAGTGACATAAATTCAGCTCTGTATAGATGTGTATGTACATGAATGGGCAGAATTGAGGTTATATAAATCAATAATGTTCTATGATACTGTTATTTCTTATATATACTATCTTGTATTTATTTTTGTTTGTTATTGTTAAAAAAATATAAACAATATTTTATAATTTTTAATTAAAGATTCCGGGATATATACTTGAAGCGATTGCATACACACTAACCGTATACATAATGGCTGGCCTTAGAAATTCATTGTATGCACTGGTAATGACAATTATCACTGCTAGCTTGTGCATAATTGTTTCTGCATCGTTTGGTAAAGTAGATGGTGTTGCAAGTTTGTTTTTATAATAAGAATAAAAAATTTTAGGCACACTGTTTTCATGTTTTTTCTCTGATTTGCAAACTGCTGTTACATATATGGTTCCTTTTGATTACCTCATGCTGATAACTGCAGGGATGTTTATTCGTCTTGGGTAATTTAATTCATTTTGTGCTGTTTAATCGATATGTCATAAAATGTCATTTTAGATCGATAAACTGGGCAGTGCAGTGGTTAAAATATTGCTCATGGTTCTATTATGCATACGAATCATATACCATAATTCAATGGGAAGGAGTCCAGTATATTGGCAAGTTAAAAAAAACCAAAAAACCATTTCTCTAAATATACCTATTTATTGGGAATTTTAGACTGTCCAAAGAATGACACATACACCCACTGTCTGACAAATGGAGCACAAGTGATTTCAGAATACAACTTTGATACTGACCACTTTCTCATGAACATAATTTGTCTTCTTGCATTATATGTTCTATTGCACATTTTAGGATTGGCATTTTTCATAAGGAAGATCAGAAAACTAACTTGAAATTAAAATATTTAATAATTTTGTTGTTTTGCTCAGTCATATAATTAAATGTGATAGTTAAATATATAATTAATTATTCAATCATATTATTAAAATTAAGAAAGGGTGTTTGTTTAATTGCTAATTATTAAAAAGAAGCATTTTACTCTAAGGTAAGGCAGAAATGGTAGGTAGGAGATATTTGACCAGAGAACATTAAAAACCATTCTGTTTTTGGAAGAGTTCCAAGAGATTTTTGGAAAAATGATATTACCAAATTTAAAAGGGTGCACCAGTGGGTCCAAAATGAAAAATAAGAATGGAAGCAAAAATAAAAAAATCTACATTGTGAAATTTGTGGTACATATCTTCTAAGTTCAGGTTTATGCAGACTGTTATGAGTGGTGGCAATCATAAATGAAAACTACAGTCATCATAAAGAGGGTGTAGTACATACTCAACCTAACATTCTGGTCATGCAAAAATAAAGGGTTGTCAATAAACCTTAATAAAATGATCGTGGTTCCCTTAACCAAGAAAAGGGCTTTAGGAAAAGGCCTAGAAACCTAGCCAATTGTTTCAAATGGAGCTGAAGTCCCTTAAAAAAAAGACATCTAGGTGTCATCTTTAACCAAAGACTTTCTTAAACAACCACATAAAGGATGGAAATCACCAGTGACAGATATAAAAGTCTTTGTTGGAAAAATAGGGGACAAAATCTTTAGATGACACTAAGGTACTAGTGATCTTTGTTAGTCTGCTGATAATAAAGTAACAAAGGAGGGGCGTCGGTGGCCGCAACGGTTTAGGCCTTAACACGGCACTCATCACTGTAAGGTGAAGGTCCCAGGTTCGAATCCAGCGGCCCTGCATTCGAACCCGACATACTTACAAACGGGCTTTTTTCAAAAACACCACCACCCCGAGGGTTGATTTAAAAAAAAAACTAACGAACTTATGCTATGTAGGTTCTCTTTCCAGGATATTGTACCTCCATGCCACATTGAAGCAAGAATAAAAGAATAAATTCCCATGCCTAATTCAGGATATCCATTGATATACAGTATAACAAAAAAACAGATTCAGGCACCAAATGCCAATCTTGAAGGAGAATAAATTCCTGTCCCTGTCTAATTCCACTTTATATACTATTATCTGGTCTTTAAATAATAACTGATATGGAATATATGAAGTCACACTCTTACGACTACTGAGATGCCAATAACTTTAACTGTGTAATCTTTAGAGATTTTTTGAGGCTTTATTTCAAGCATTAAAGGCTTTGAGAGGTCCAAACGCTTTTTTATTTAAACTAGACTTTACAGTTTATTGACATGTAAGTCCTATGTTAAAATTGAGTCAAAACAGCTAAAATAACCATTAAAATACTACGTTTCTACTGCCATAAAGGGACTTTCGATTGCCTGGTTTTAATAATGTAATGGGCTTATGTTTGTCCTTCAGGGAATTGGACTCCTCAAAACTGATACGCACACACTTTACATACCAAGTTATCTGGTCTTATAATACTAACCGATAGGGAGTACATGAAGGAATGAATACTTATTACCATCGAGAGGTTTTTCACTGAATGATAATGAACTGTAGGGCATTTGTTAGGGTTTATGATAGGCATTACAGGCTTCAAGAGGTCAAAATGTTTTGTTAAACTGAAGCTGAACTCTTTTTTTGGAATTTTTACAATTTTCCCTCTAACTTACTCATCTCTGAAGAAAAATATACTGATTAGTTAGGGATATGTGTAATTCCAATTTTTTTTTTTTTTTCAAATAAGGTTTTGTGTAACACCATAATTGTTAGGACGGTCACTCAATCAGGACAGAAATTTAACTGCCATATGGTAGTCAGTCTGGTGGAAGGTAGACAGAGCATGTCCGCTACTTCGACTGTGATACCATGGATGTCCGTATTTATTTGTTTTTCCTAAAACCCTCATGCGCCTGTATATTTTCTCTTAACAATACAGCCACTACCTCCCAGATGGGACTGCACCGCTCTAGAGGTTTTATACCCTCTCAGATGAAATTTGCATTCCCAGGCGGATGCAGGTCTCCTTGGTCGTAACACCATGATCCCTGACAAGGAAATGCATCATTTACCTTTTGTTTATGACTGTTCTCTTCACCAGGCCTCCATTACTTTTTTTTCCCCACCATCTTTATTTTATTCAGTAAATAAACAGATGAGTATATACATCAATATGAAAATAGATGAAAATATGTTTAAACTAAAACTTAAATTATAAAACTGCAATTGTCGACTCTTGTTAATATTAAACTTGATAATTTGAATTTCTTGATAATACATACTCTTCAGTAGGTCACTTTGGCAAATGAAAAACATGCTGTATATTTTGATATACTCGACAATACTAAATATTTTTCTTTGTAAATTCCTCTAAATTTCCATTTATTGTTTATTTCCTTACAGCTTAAAGTTTCTTAGAATTTTCTCTATTGTTCGGCAGTTAGTGCCAATGTGTTTTCAACAAGCAAATGGAAAATCATTTAGACAAAGGACGCTATTTACATTGAAACAAAAACTGGCGTACAATTTTTTAAAATAATGTATTCAATAATAATAATAATAATAATAATAATGCATTCAATTTTTCAGTTGATCTATTTTCACTTTTTCATTATTTTTACCATGTTTTATACATGCAAAATACAAGTAATAATTTGTAAAAATGCATACCAACTTTTAATATTAAAATGATATAACTAGAAATCCTAAATAAGAGGATCACAATTAAAACAACAGTCACAAATTACCGCCAGTGGATCCATGTCTAATCTTCTGCTACTCTGTTTCTCTTACACTATTTTAACAAAATTAACAGCATCTGCTTGACTTTTTATTACAATCAATTTATAATTGTATAAATATGTGTTTGTAAAATATACACACAATAACTATTTATTATGCGAGTTTTTATTTATTAAGCAATTGCAAAATACAATATTATTTTTTTAACTATTTCAACACCTTATTTCAACGACTTATAAGAATTTACTTGAAATAATGCTTTATAATTGTAAGTTTAATAACATATGTTTGTTCCAACATATTTATTTAGGTACTGACATCTCAATTTTAAATTTTCTGGAATTTTATGTTAGTTAATTTTCTTTCCTGTTGATAAGTCAAATTATTTTTGTTGTCTCTTGGATTTCGAATAATCAAGAGTTGACTGTTTCAAAACAAAAGAATAAAAATTGGTGCTATAGGTACCCTAGAGGAAGTCCTAGTTTAGGGCTATCTGCCTCAATTTTTTTAAAGAATGAACATAAAACATTGGGGAATTAATAGAGGTTAAATTAAATATAGATATATGCCTAATTGTATTATTTGATATGAGACTTTAGTTGCTTGAAGAGCCATTGTTCAATTTGTATTGAATTTGTCTTCAAATTAAAACATTTTTTTATGCTTTCTGAAGGTTTAAGAGCCCATTTGGGGCCTTTGTACAAGAAACTTTTTAGCACTAGAGAGGTTTTAGGATGAGACAGTACATACTGCATTGGGTTCCTCAATTTAGAATTTAAAGTTTTAATACTCTATATACAAAAAGGTAATGTTGTGGTAAAATATTGTATTTTTTGGAAGCGAGTATTCTATTTTCCCCTTGTAAAACAAAGCTCTATTTTTTTTGTGTTTTGACTATCCGGTCTTTCACACTGGCGTATACACCTCCCCAATCCATACCGGATATGTGATTGAACCAGGGTATAGTAGACCTTTAATAGAAGACCTCTCAAAGAAAATAAATTTGCCTCTACCCGAACTGTACATTTTTCCGGACCTTATCAACATCAGTTTAATCTTTCTTCAATAATTAGTCCCAAGTATTTGATATGACTTATTTGTTCAATGTTAAAGCAATTGGTGCAACTTGATTACAATCACCTCTGAAACGACTAAATTTAACAATCAACGATCAAAAATCATCAATATTTTGATATCGGTCTCCATGTTAGACAATTATGTGCAAACCATTTACTAACTAGACTCATGTCTGCTTGCATTTGAATCTGTCTCCCCAACTACTACCAGAAAACTGAATAGAAATGTCAACAGAAAACACTGTCATTGTGCCTTTAAATCTAACTTCCTCCAGGAGGTCGTTTATATAAATCAAAAATAAAACTGGTCCTAATACAGAGCCCTGAGGAACACCGTACTTAATAGAGTTACTTGCTCTTTATTCGGTTTTCTTTTTCTTAAGTTGAATGAAAAAAATGTTGAGTTCTTTGAATTGATTATTTCAAATCGAGTTTAAGGTAAACAGGACTCACTGGTTGATTTTAAACTGGATTACCGTTGCAATTCGAAAACCCAATACAACGAAAGGACAAAAATTAAACGTTTATCTACTATGACTACCTCCTTATCATCAAGATATGACGTTGACTTCAACCCAAGTCGATTCGTTCGCTTATCGATTTGCCTGTTTGTTTTTGCAACGGCACGTTTTACAGCTGGTGTTTGTTTACCATCAACGAGATTTTATGTTGTATGTTGTATGTCGTGTATTTATTTGTAGCAGTCTAAGCTGAGTACATTTGCATAACAGTAAAATACCAAAGGTAAGTCTTTTTTTTTCTAAAATAAACTTTAATTTGTGTCCACATCACCACCAACAACAATAAGTGACAAATCATCAAACAATTTAGTGCACTTATTTATAAAGTAGAATCTCGAAAGAATATGTTGTTGATATTATAAGATCAAATAATTAGAGATAATCCTAAAGTTGGGTTTACGTACGCATATCACTATCTGCATCAATAAATACAAATAATTTTCTTATTTTTAGGGATTTTTTGAAGGTGGTTGAATAAATTTTGTTTGAATGGTTGAAAACTATTTAGGCTGTTTGTCCTGTCCTATTTTCAAGAACATACATAATTTTTTTTCTGGAAAATATTTTCATTTCATATTATTCTTTTTACCAATTATTTAAATCTTTTGTATAATTCTTTTATTATTAAAATTTACCTTTAATGCTAAAATACGAAAACAGTTTTTAATTTTTTAAAGGAAATACGCTAAAAAATGAAAAAAAAAACCGGCACAAATGTCAACAAGGGCTCTTGTTTTTATCGGAGGTTACAATTTTGAAACTGTTATATATGCCGTTTGGCGCTTATATTTAAAATTTTTATTATTACAGTTAAAATAAAAATATCATGTAGTTTTTTCCTTAACTTAAATAAGNTATATTGAATCAATATTAAATACAATCTATATTTGCATAGTGGTCATAATTGACCATATTAATTATTCCAATTAATTATTCTTTTTTATCTAAGTTTTTTGGTTGAGATGAAAAATTAAAGTTGAAATGACAGCCGAAGGTCATGGGTTCGAATCCCGCTCGTGGCACTAGTTTTTCATCTCAACCAAAAACCTTAGATAAAAAGGATCAATTAATATAAAATTAATCAAATACACTGTCCATAAAAAAAGCGACCACCTGGTTTTTGCACGAAAAAAGGGCTAGTTTTGGAAATGCATATTTTCTCAGCCTTTAAAGCCACAGACCTGCCCTAGGTCGCTAAAGGGCGTCGCTCCAGGGCGATTTTCGGGCTCCACAGCTCAATTTGAAGATTTCGTTAAAAGTGCAAAAATTGACACGTTCCAGGATTTTTGAATTTACTGATGAATGATTGTAGCTAAAAAAACATTTTAAACGCCATCTTGTCCAGTGAAAAAAATTCTAAAAAAATGAGGCCTAACGCAAGTCTGTGAAAATATATATTTCCAAAGTTGCCCATTTTTTCGTGCAAAAACCAGGTGCTTGGTTTTTCTGATGGGCAGTGTATATTGATGATATATTTGTATTTTAAAATTCACAAAATACATTTCATACATTTTTTTGTCATACATCCAAACACATGGACATACCCTAAAAATATAACGTTTATATTAGAGAAAAAATAGAATAAACTATTTGGATATAAATATTAAAAAAACAAAAAAAAAAAAAAAACTAATCGCTTGTTGGCACACTAAAAAAACTCAGGCGGATTATTAAACTTACTCTCAAATCATCTTTTTTAATTTGACTCTCAACACTACAGACAAGAATGACACATCTACACGGAAACAATCACTTTGAGCACTGAAGATGATCTCAATAAAGATGGAAACGTTGGCACGATAAAGAAAATGTTGTTCTAAAACCTTATTTATTTATTTTATTTTTATATTTTAAAGAATGTAATAAATAATGTCTTTACATTTTCTCACTCAGAGTATTATGCATTTTGAGTAAAACCCTTTCAAAAGACAAATCTTATAGCGCATACAAAAAATAGTGAAAAAACTAAATAAAAAAACTGATTACAACCAAATGTCCATATTATATCCCGACATTAAAACAAAATCTTAAAAAATATGTAAATTTTTTTAAAAAACTAATAAAAAAATCCAAGTTTAGATTTTAGCGTGAACTCTTAAAATAATATTAAACTTCTAAACTTGCTTAATGTCAAATTGAACTATAAAAAAAGAAGGGCAATGAACACGAAGAAAAGAAGAATTCAAAATTTGTAATTATTATTAATTTTAAATTTTCTTAGAACGAATATATGCTAATAAGAAGAAAATAATATATACAACAAAGAATAAAAGGTTACCATTCTTCTTAAATCAGCCAAGTATCCTTTTCCTAATTTATTATTCATTAATATTATACAAATTGTCGTAGCAGAGAGAATAAAATATTACATTTATTTTTGATATAATTTTTATTGTAGTGTATGCATTATTTATTGCGTTGCTCAAGGAAAATGTGTATTTATCATTAGAGTTCTCAACCAGAAAAATAATCTGTTCTTTTCCTTAAATTTTGTCCTATTAACAAGTTATTTATTTACTTGCATGGATTAAGAAATGTTCGCTTTTCTAATCTCTCCTAGAGTTGGACAAATTCCTGAAAATTGACTATTATTATCAGACAGGTACTGATACATTAAACACTTTATGGTATTCCATCAGCCACTATTGCCACTTTTATCAGATTGCAAAAAACAGATCCATGAGACAATTAGTTAAGAATAAATCCTCGTTTCAATGAAATTGTATTTCAGGAAAGAGGCTTGTGAGAAAATTCATCAAACGGCCAAGGATGAAACTAAGGGCAGAATACTAGGACGTGTTACGACTAGAATGATAGTAGGACTGATGACTGGACATATGTATATTCGAGGAAATATGCCTTTGTAGATATTGTCAGAAAGAAAAACAGAGGTGATCTTCTTGGTTGAAGACCTATATTGGCTGAGATTCGTCTGGAGCGATTCTGGGTTCGAATCCCGGTAAAGCCCATAGGGTTTTCATTGATAATGGCATGAAAAATATATTGTAAAGCGGGCTTATGCCTCGCCGGCGATACCCAATGTGTTTATACGATAAGCCTTTCTGTAAAAGGACGACAAGAATTATTTTACTTTACTTCGTACTTTTGGAAGTAGGAAAGCCCCGAAGGATACACCCTGTAGTTCTTAATAAAGCTTTGGGATCTTAAAAAAATTGAAAGCTTAATGAAGAGTTCTAGATAATAAAGAAAATTGCACGATGGACCCGTCCTAAAACCTGACCCTAACCCTACTCACCCTAATCTAACCATGCCCCGGTAACGGTGGTGCATAAATGTTTGTGTATCCTGTTAAATTACAAGAGATGCTTGGAATAATTAAAAAATAAAGGGACAATACATATAAATATAATATGTATATATTTATTAAAAAATAATATAAAATATAGTACATATATATTTATCATAATCATAATAAAATAAATAGAGGGGCCTTATTATGGTACACAGGTGAATCTGAAATGGAACAAGGAGGCTAGGAGTCCTAGTTTTGACCTAGCGAAACCTCTAGGCCTCTCAACATTAATTTTCGAAGCTAAAATCCATGCAATCTGTGCACAAGAAATACTTAAAAAGGGACTAATTGGTACACAGATATTACATACATATTCTCAGACAGTCAAGCTGCATTGAAAGTTTAGACTCCTCCATTTTCAGCTCAAAGTTATCTGAGAATGCATAACAAAAGCTGAGACAGAAACTTGCCTACTCTCCCATGAAAGAGAAGAGACATTGGAACATGTCTTATGAGGCTGCAAAGCATTAGCCCGGAAATAAGATCCACTTTGGAAAGACGGGACTAACGTCTAGGTAAACTTGAAATGGAACCCCGGAAAGAACTGAATTAGCTTAAAGGGTAGTGAACATTTCTGGGGTACGGAAATAAGTGTAGTAATCCTGTGAGATATTTAAAAAGTGGAAAAATTATTTCAATTTGTTGTGATTGAGACAATATAAGAAATATTGATACATGGGTAACACAGGTAACTGACGTCTGTCACTTTTGGTGCTTCGAGTCTCGTTTTAACTAAGTTGTACTAATATTCATTTCAGAAAGGATTACTTGATCGATATCAATATTTACGCGGACTGTCCGTTTTTAATTTAATAAGTTTGCTAATTGACTATTGGCATTGTTGGACAAATTTTAATTGTCGGGCTTCTGTATTTTATGCAACAGCCCTTTCTCTTGTTTTAAATTAAATAACCTTTTCATCTATAGGTCTTCACGTCCTCTTCTTTTCACAAGAGCCCATTATGCAACCCAATTTCTTCGTGATGCTAGTAGAATGTTTTCGACTGATATTTTATTTGATAGGTTCAGTGGAATAGGCGGGGGAAATTTGTTCAAATTGCTAAATTGTTTTGTTTTTACGTTTCAGCTAATATGTATATATTTACTTTGTGATTCTTGCAATGACTAAATGCGAGCTACAATTTAACATTCAAAACATTTAAGTGTCCTTTGTTTGGTGAGACCTTGATAGAAATAAAAGTCAAGGCAATCCTATTAAAAAACTACATTAAAGTGTTGAGAAATGTAGATAAGATATAATTCTATAGTTATTTTACATTTCAACATTTTGCCATCAAACTTCAAATCGTTTCTTCCTAGACGTATCGAGAAGCCTCCGATCGAGTGTGGCACCCACTCCTCTGCAAGCTCAAGGGTATCCATCCATTCATTTATTAGCTTATCCTAAAATACTATCTTTCTGATAGGTATACTTCCAAGTACAAATCAGAACATCTTCCACCCTATCCTAACCGAAGCAGGTGTTCCGCAAGGCGGCATCCCTGGTCCCATTATCTAGTAACGCACTACTATAATAGACGATAACGCCCTCCTTTCAGCAAACATCGACTCACACTTAGACACCTCCAGGACCATCTGTCCTGTTTGGAAGTATGGTTCAGGAAATGGAGGATCAAACTCAAGGCAATGTCAAAGCCTTGCAAAAGCCTTCACCCTTCGCTATATCACTTCTCCAATCTATACCGATGTCATCTGCTACTTGGGTACATCAACAAAAGACTTATTTTCAGCCCTCACACTCGACTCAAAAGAATAGAACTGATGATATAAAATACTCAAAATACTGTTTCTTAACAGATCTAATCTCACTACAAAACAAACACCTAATTACTACAAGCAATCTGGAATTGAACTGTTGGGTTTAACCTAGCGTTGCCACTTCGAAAGAACTCGGTCACTCCAGTCCAAAATCGTTTATCCATTGCCCAAGCACCGTTTTTCGTACCCATCCTTACCATCCAGACTGACCTTCAAATCTTATCTCGAAACTGCAAGAAGTCGATACAGACTTTAACTCCCCCCCCCCCCAAAAAAAAAAAAACCAAAAAACCACGCTTTTCATCCCGTACTCTTTCTGACAATCCTTTAACGCCTAAAACGCCAAAGGCATCGCGAGTTTAATTACTGGATTAATTTTCTATTTTTGTTATGCTATAACACTCTAGCATTGTAGTGATATAGTGTAAAAAATAAGAAAATTGTCATCAGTACGGTAAATATTAAAATGCGTATTAGTGAAAACCTTTCTGTTTTTCGACGATGGCGTGTACTTTCCTTCGAATATGTAGTCTTGAAATCGAAGAATGGTTGAAAAATAATAAATTTCCAATTAAGTTTATTTCAGACATGCCTGAGAAGCTTAGGGAGCAAAGACGATTATAAACCAAGTTGAGGCCACGCAACATGAGATCATACTTAACCATATTGTACAAAAACATTTGATAATATTGCGTAAAGATGTTAAAAACAAGTCCGGATCTATAAATATAAAGTAGTATTCTTTAGAAAAAAAACAACAACGTTAAAATGTCAGTCAGTATAGGAAGATAGTAATCGGCTCAATGAACATTTAAATAAAGTTGAAAATAAACGAGGAGATGCATAAATAAATATGTATATAAACTTTCATTTCCATAAATGTACGTGGGTAATGTTTTAATCTAAAAGTAATTTTGCTGATGTTCAGTTCGATGTGAAAGTGGTCAGTGATCCGAGAATGCGAGGTATTGAATCTACACGGTAGGATGGCGATATTTCCTGCATTTTCCGCTGTCCTCGGTCCAGGTTATTTTACATTTTATAAAGCTATACACGTTTTGTTATTCAGGTTGTAAAATTAAAGTTACAAATAGTCGGCGTCAGTCATTTTTAAAATGCTTTATTAGTAATATTTATACTCTTCAGTCAAATACATAGGCGGCAACATCGAATATAAGATCATATCGGGTGAATTGATAAAAGAAAGAAAACAACAAGTATGTTTTTTCTTTTATACATTTTATATATAACTTAACTGACAAAATGTCTATTTATAATAATTTCGAAAATAAGACACAGGGACACAAAATTCTCTGAAAATGATTACAAAACAATTATATAATATTGATATTACTGAGAAACAGTTATATCTTAATAAAATTATTAATTATTATCGTTTTCATTTATGTGGTAATGGCCGAATTGGCGTGACTCACTGTCCTCCCGGGGAAAATACGGCAGAACTGTGTTTCACACGGAAACAGGAAAAAGAAAATTGAGATAAACGGCTTTAATATAAACAAATCGAAATGTTATTAGAATGTTAACAACCGAAAATAAACAAAAAAAACGCAATTTTACAGCCTTGGCCACATTTTTCTCTTTCTGAATATATCCGAGTACGTCCTCTTCCTCCCCATGTTGCAAATCTTGAAGTGGCATAGCGCCATATCTGAAACACAAATACAAATAAAAATATTTTAATGCGGTTTGATAGTTTTTGGTCATCATGGTCCGCCTGTCCTCGCTGTTTTGGCCGGTCAAGCCCAAGATAGCCAAGTTAATCGCTCAGAAAACCACCAACAAGAAACTCTCAATATTTTCAGTTGTTGTGAGATTTCTTCTTTCGTTTCTTTGTTTGCGATGAACATTTTAGCTTGGTCGTTTCATTAGATTCACCCTATTCTCGCTTTTTCCCGATTACCTGTCAGACCATCTTGCCTAATTGATCTTGGTTGATTTAGCATGCTGCGTTTGAAAAGGGGTCTTTCAGACCAAAGCAGCCAGGCTAGGCTGACCAAATAATGGTTTTTTTGCCTTTGTTGTGCATATATTTCAAGGTTATTATATATCAGATATTTTTTGACCAAGTATCACCGATAAATGTTACATTACAATTGGCAATCCAACGTCGGTAGTTATTACAATAGTTTTTGTGTTTTATAAGTAGAAATTATTCTGACTTCTCTCAGAGAATCGTATATTAGAGACAGTAAATATCACAGTTAGGCTTTCTTCGGCCTTTTCTTCTTGTCTACGTTCTTCTTACTGGATTGTGAAAAGTAGTTTATAATATTTTTGTTGGGTTGTTTGATTGTAAAAAGTTAGCTCGTAATATTAAAAATATATAAAAATAAATCTCAGACAATAAAAGCGGTTTTACATAAAATTTAAATTATTAAAAGAAAAATTACAAGATTAAACGTTTTGGTTATGAATTTTGAAAGTTGGGTGAACAGGTTATATCCCACATTCACGACAAATCTGTTGTGCGGATTTAGCATTGTTCGCCCCGTGAAACGGGTATTGTATTTTGCATTATTAATTTATAAATTAGTAATACATAGATTATAAACGAATAATATTAGTTGGTCTAAAAATTTAGTTTACGGAAAATATGTAAACAAACAGTACAGGTAAACATTCTGAATTAAAGGTTAACTATGTCAGAAAAAATTACAATTAAAAAACTCAGAGATTAGACTAATTGGAAATAAAACGTACCAAGTGCTGACCTCCCATCCCATCCTCAAATCACCGTAATCGATCCTCTCAAGAAACTCTAATCCAGTAATTTACACTCGAAACCTTCAACACTGAATCTTACTCGTCTAGGTGTGAAAGAACCGAGAAAAATCTACCCACGTAGCCTTCGCTCTCTGAAAGAGTGCTCAAGTTTGTTTCAATAATCTCTCAACTGTGGACAAGTTGCGGTATCTAGGACCTCGAACAACGCTTGACTTGGAACACGCCGCTGAAACGACAAGAAGTTAAGACACGATACAGAGAACTTTTACGAAATATTTACCAACGCACTAACGTACTGGCTGCTTTAAAAATATTTTAGTGAAGCCGGTGTGGACTTACTGACTGGAAATATGGGGTTCAGCCAAAAGTTCCATTATCCGTCTCATCAAGACTGCCGAACCTTTGACCCTCAGACAAATCTTTGATGCTCCATTTTATTTGTCCAACGTAACAACCCAAACAGACCTAAATATTCCTTTTCTTCAAGACGTAAATCCGCTACCGTTACCGAAAATATAACAAAACAACCATAAACCTTCAAATCCAAAAACTTGCATCCGGACAATTCCTCAAACCCTCCTCGACGACTGAAGAGGCGATAGCCGCAAGATCTGCTATTCAGTAACAGTGTCACCGTTAATGAAAATAGTCTCCATTAAATAAAAAAAAAGTATCATTGAAGTATTGCAATGGGCAGTTTTTCCCCTCTTGTCTTGGTTGTGTATATAGTAATTAATATATTGTATTTGTCGTATTTGAACCACCACAAAATAGAAACGTGTTTTTCTTGGTTTAATACCAACTCAAAATATTTTATGTAGGCATAAGATAAACTTACATCCTGCTCTTTGCTGTATCATTATTGTGATAACAACGCTGGTTATTTTATTACTGTGAAAAACTTTAATTTGTGAATCTCATTGTTGAAAATGATGCGTTTATATGTTTTTAATCTGTGCAAATAATTAGTTTATTTTTATTAAAATGGCGAGTTGACTCGTTTCACGGGGCGAACAATGCTAAACCCGCACAACAGATTTGTCGTGAAGGTGGGATATAACCGGTTCCCCCAACTTTCATAATGCATAATCAAAACGTTTAATCTTGTAATTTTTCTTTTAATAATTTAAATTTTATGTAAAACAGCTTTTATTATTTGAGCATTATTTTTATGTAGTAAACAAAAAATTAGCAACTAATCAATTAATACAGTTTAGTTGAATTATCGCAGTATTAGTATTCTCAGCTGGCGGTGAAAAGAATAATATAATTTTATCTGATATTATTTGTCGTATTTGAACCACCATAAAAAAGAAATGTTTTTTTTTTGTTTAATAACAGCCTAAAAATACTTTATATGTGTATGCAGTATTGTTTAAGTATGTAGTCACAAGATAAACATATCCTGCTCTTTTCTGTGTCATTATTGTGATAACAACGCTGATTATTTTATTACTGTGAAAAACTTTAATTTGTGAATCTTATTGTTGAAAATGATGCGTTTATAAGTTTGTAATCTGTGCAAATAATTAGTTTATTTTTATTACGCTGGCGATTGGCCACGTTTCACGGGGCGAACAATGCTAAACCCGCACAACAGATTTGTCGTGAAGGTGGGATATAACCGGTTCCCCCAACTTTCATAATGCATAATCAAAACGTTTAATCTTGTAATTTTTCTTTTAATAATTTAAATTTTATGCATAACAGCTTTTATTATTTGAGTATTATTTTTATATGGTGAACAAAAAATTAGCAACTAATTAATTAACACAGTTTAGTTGATTTATTTCAGTATTAGTATTCTCAGCTGGCGGTGAAAAGAGTAAAATAATTTTATCTGATATTATTTGTCGTATTTGAACCACCATAAAAAAGAAACGTGTTTTTCTTGATTTAATAACAACTTAAAAATTCTTTATATGTGTATGCAGTATTGCATAAGTATGTAGTCACAAGATATACTTACATCCTGCTCTTTTCTGTGTCATTATTACAATATAACAACGCTGATAATTGATATTAATATTATTTTATTACTGTTCAAATTTTTTATTTGTTGAAAATGATGCTTGTGTATATATTTTTAATCTTTGCAAATAACTATTTTATTTTTATTATACTGGCAAGAAGTTATCTCAGTGTTTCCCAACCTTTTTTGTACCCTGTCCCGCTTACAATTTTTGAAATCCCTTCTGCCCCACACCTCAAACCCAACGTACATAATCTTTAGTATTAAAATGCTCACTGAATAAAGTTAAAAATTATTGTGAAAATCACTATGGAACAATTGATCAAACACAGTAAGCAAATTTTTTGAAAACCCCGAAAACCGTGATATTGTTTTATCGGGAACTCATCTTGTGATGTTCTTCAGTTTTTAAAATATAAAGTGGCTGCGATCAAACGTGATAAGATCGCATCAGTAAGAATAAAAAAAAACTGTGTTGGTGGACGCTAAAGAGTTTGTTGGAGCACCTGAGATTTAAGTGTCCCAATTAGTTTTTAAAATGGCATCTAGTAGATTCAAATTATACTTCGTCCCAAAATAGTTACCATTTTGCATTTTAACATGAGCTTCGAAAAATATTTGCCGGACATATTAATTAATTAATATCCAACTAAAGTAAAAAATAATAAATATCAGTGAAATTCGTATCTATACCTGATAAAACCTTATTTTTTCGAAGAGAGAAAAACTCCGATTGATTTGGTTGAAATTTCCAAATTTAACAAAATATCAGATAAAATGCATTTTTTCTCATGTAAATTATTGTTATTAGAAAGCAATACCATTCTCGGAATGTATTCTGTAGTTCTATTAATTTTCCCTCTCTTGATAAATCAATTATATGAGTCCGCAATAGCAAAATATTAGACAGATTAGATAAATGTCTTTATTATTTACAATTTTGTTACATAATGTTGTTGTTATGATCTATTTACAAAAGTAAAGATATGCATTACCATTGGTTGTGCAAACCGTTGTGGGTGAGTTGACCTTGCGACCTATTACATTTCTTTTATTTCATAATTAAATTAATTAATTCTCTTTTAAACTAATAGCATTACATTACAGTTAAAATTTCATTGACAGAATAATAATATCAAACTAATAATGACTTTAGGGCTAATTTACAATTGTACATAAATCATATTATTCCTTTTTAAACAATTAATAAATTCTTTTACACTTCATATCAACGTAAAACAATAATTTAAATAATATAAGTGTAGATAAAGTAAAGTAAATCAAACCAAAATAAAACGCTGGTAATCATTTTCTTCAATGAATGTTTGAAACAGTAGAAAGACAACAAATTTTGTGACATAATTTTTCAAATCCGAATCCGCAGTTTCCGTTTTCATTCCTTGTACGTTATAAGCCAGGATATCCAGCATTCTGTGTTTTAGCTGCTATCTTGCCCCTCCATGGTCCGAGCTTGTGGAGTTGACTTGCCTGACAGTAGCTCGTTCTCTCGTGGTCCTAACTCATAAGCAAATCGTTTGAGAGACTCTTTAATGCTCGTACTATCTACAGACTTGACTCGTTTTCCTGTGTCGTCTCTGGTGCCCTTCGACAGGGAAACTTTTTCCGGTGGAGAGGTCATAGGGCATTTATTTCCTCCTGAAGCTGCTGTCTGCGTGATTCTTTAGTTGTTTCTGATATTGGCTCCCTAATTATCAGGTTATCATATCTGATTACCGCATATTTGCCGTCCGGCCGTGCTTTTAAAAGTTGGGGGCGCAGCATTCTTCTTTTTTCCTGTACCTGCTTTGGGTAATCTTCGGAAAAAATATTAGTTCCCTTCAATTTAGCCGACTGCCTTAGGATCGATATTTTTGTTTTGTATTTGACCAGCCCAATTAGGATTGGTTGCCTGTTTTCTTCTTTGGAATTTCCCAGTCTCCTTACAAAATCGAAATCATCTGGTGTGATATTCAAGTCCATTTTTTTATTTATTATGTTGCATACAAAAAATTCGAATTCATTTAAATTTGCAAATGTACGCGATAACCCAAAAAAGATTGTTTTTCTTTCTTCTTCTCTTTCCAGGGCGCATGACTCGCTCATCGATGTAGTTCATTTTTTTTTCTATTTCATTTGTATGTTCCTTAATATCTGCAACAATTTTATTTCTATTTAACTCCATTTCTTTACACAAATCAGCTCTCAGAAGTTTCAACTGTTCCATAATATCCCTATTAAATAAATATATGAATTGAGTGTAGCGGAATGTTTTCAAATTATTGTTTCCACACTAGTGTATCAATCTGGCTCGTTGATAACTAATACTGGCAGAATTGTAAATACCCAGATACTAGCTACAATAATAGAATAATGCTTACGCACCTGTTGCTCCCCTCTTTGCCAAGGAACGGATCTTCTCACTGTTTCCCGTAGAATCTATTCCAATATCCACTTTTGCAATTACAATTAATAATTAATGACTACTTATTCGTATCTCGATACTGCTTTAATAGCACTATTCACGGCTACTATTTAATTCGTGTGCAACAGTTTCTTCTCCCGTAGGACACAGTTAGCACCGATTTAAATCAAATTAATGCAGAGCTCAAATTAGCGTGACCGACCTGGACAGGCGTTCAAAGTCAACTCAATAGCAGAATACTAATTAATATTATTTCATGTAAAATATTGTGTTGTTTTGTTCAGGAAAATCATCACTCTCATTGATCTCGATCATCAAGATATGTGCGAATAAATTTAACATTAAAATTATGATACAAAAAGATACGAATTATAAATTGCACAGTATTGTTTGTATGTGATATAGCGTGTCTCTTCTTCTTTTTTTTTGGGCCCAACCCTGAATTCGGAAAACCGAAATCAAGGTCCCAGAGGTTTTTACGATCGGACCTGACTATACTTATTTCATTTATCAATCAGGCACCTTTTATATTTCATTTAAACCAAAGTAAATACAACACCAAATGTTTGTTAAATTTGAATCTTTAATTACAATTTATTTTCACATAAAATGACAATATATTATTTTTAATTTAAAGAATCCTTTTATCCTATAACAAACCTATCTCAAATCTACAAACTTTAATTTTAAAATGGAATTTGATTCTCGTTTTATAGTTCCATAAAGAAAGGTAACGAAATTATTATTATTTATTATTATTATTATTAAAATTTTGACCACCAAATTAGAAAATACAATTAAAATATTAACACAGCTTTTAAAATGAAATATTATTTCTTTTATTTTTCTTTATAAAAATATATACCCTTTTAAAACTAAATTACAATGATTATTTTTTTATTTTGACGTCAAAGTAATAAAAATTAACTCACTTGAATAATGTGCACACCAAATTTTTCTTTTTACCAAAAATAGCTGTTTACTCACACAAGCCAGAAAGGGATCTGTTCTAGGAATTGAAAAAAAATAGCCCTTTTCTTGGCCCATACTCCTTTCACTGTTTGAATGTGTGGAGGGGCATGGCGGTTCATTTAAATCTGAACGTGACATGTACATAAAAATCGAAACGCCACATCTTATTTTCAATTAATTGATTTATGGATTTGCATTAAACTGTAGAGGTGTTGATATTCAAAAGCTAGTATTGATAACAAATTATATAAGCTTGTACGATTACATTTATGGTGTAAATTAATATTTATTGAAATTTTAGTTTTAAGTTTTTTCCTTATCATAAAAACACGAATAGCTCGTATCTGCATATTAATATTAATGCTCAATTTACTCAGAGATTAAAAAAAAACATTGTTTGTCATTTTTCTAGAATTAGGAACTTTAAAACCTAAATTAATATAACTTCATAATTTAACATACTTTTCATTCATTTGACACTAATAAAATATACTGAATTCTGAAAAGCGAGACTTTACAAAGATTTTAACGAACAAGAATTTAAATTACTACAGCGATGACGATAAGCCTTAACTGAAATGCCGTGAAAAAAAGATACCGAGAGTAATTATTACGGGATATTGAAAAATAGCAAGAAATGCTTGAGGATTGAAATAACCCGATAATACATTCAGCTTTTTCACGGGGAACAGAAACTACTATATTCGATGATTTTTCAACTAAATAACGAATGAGAATGGGTACATAGTTAACTAAAAATCTAAACGAGTTATTTTCAAAATTCTTTCCCTCCCTTAAAACTCAAATTGCCTCCCTTCGTAAGCCGACGTTGGGAAACACTGGGTTACATCTTTTCACGGGGCGAACAAATGCTAAACCCGCACAACAGATATGTCGTGAAGGTGGGATATAACCAGTTCCCCCAACTTACGTACTACTTTTTTAAAACTTTTTTTACTTATAATACGTAACCAAAACGTTTAATCTTGTAATTTTTCTTTTAACAATTTAAATTTGATTTAAAAGATCTTTTATCGTCTGAGATTTATTTTTATCTAATGAACAAAAAATTACCAACTAATTAAGACAGTTTTGTTGTTTTATTTCAGTATTAGGACTCTCAGCTAGTTGCGAAAATAGTGAAATAATTTTGTATGATATTATTTGTCGTATTTGAACTGCCAAAAAAAAGAAACTTGTTTTTTTTTTTATAACAGCTTAAAAATACTTACTTAATATTTAATATACTTAAAAATATTGTATTAATATGTAGTCACAAGGTATACTTACATCCTGCCCTTTTCTGTGTCAGTAGTTGTTCAGGGTCGTTCTCCATCTCGTCCTTAATTATGTTTTCATAAGTCAAGGGCTGCTCTCCTTCGGGGCGGCTTTCACTTCCGTATGTTTCTCTATTCTACAACAATTTACACTTTTATCGTGATTCTGCTCTTTTTCTGTTAGTGCCGAAAGTTCGGTCATTACCTGTAGGTAGTCTAAGAGTATGGATATGTCTTGGAGTGTGAGTGGCGCCTGTTCTTCCGATGATGCAGGGACTTGTGAGAGAAGTCCTAATAATACCGCGCAGATCAACACCGGCCTGACTACCCCTGGGAGTCAGAAAGAAAGACAAGTTTTGTAAAAAGGTTAATAATAAAAGCTATAAATTACTTACAAAACAAATGGTACAAAATTGGGTTGTTTCTCAATTTGAATGAAATTAACTTAGCCAGCTTGTTTAGCCCAGAACAAATGTCTTACTAATGACCCAAGTTCACCTTGTATTTATTTATTATTGTAAATTAATATACTTTTGAAGTATTGTATATGGGATTTTTTAAAATTTGTAATTCTTTTGTTAATGAATCTTAAAATTTCAGATGTAATTATTATATGTGTTACCAATCAAGAAAAATCACTTTATGTGAAAATACAAAAATAATAAAATACAACCTGTTGTTCGGCAAGAATCTATACAATTTTTCAATAGTCGTGTGTGATTTTTCATTAGTACAATCATTTGTATGCAAGTTATATGGGCTTTTTTAAAATTCTAAATTGTTTTGTTAGTGATTGTCAAAATTCCAGATGTAATTATTATGTAGGGTAGATTTTATGTACCAAATAAATGAAGTGTACTCTTCCATCCTGGGATATTTTCGTGTTACCTTTAAGCGTTTTTATAAAAAAATCTCAAAAAAATAATTTTTTCTGAACTTATACAAATATCGTGCAATTAGAGAACCAGAATAGCAAGAAAGAAAAGAATGATTAGAGCCATTTTGTCAAGATTGAGTACGTTGAGGAAAAATGTAACCCACCAAGAAAAATCACTTTATGCGAAAATACAAAAATGATAAAATACAACCTGTTGTTCGGCAAGAATCTATACAATTTGTCAATGGTCATGTGTCTTTTTTCATGAATGCAATGTAAAATATCTCATTTAAATGTGGCAAAAAACGAAAAAATCCCAGTTTTCCCTCTCGTCGCGTGGGAACGTTTGATTGGCTCCTTAACGGTTCAAATCTTTCCCTTGAGTCAACAGTTCGACTGGCCAAAATCAACAGACATGGTGCCGGAGGTAGAAGATCGTCATTCCTGCGGTAATAGGATACTTCGTTTGCTCTATCGCCCGGAGGGTTGCTCGTTTATAGGCTAATCGACTCCGGTTTTTTTTTAACGTTTGACGTAAAAATATGTACAAATGTTGTTTTGTGTCGATTTTCCCTTCACCTACCTCTCATTACAAGGGATGAGTGAACCACCATAAATAATTATTGTTGGCGCAGCGATAGACAAATTTATCACTAGATGTTTATTTTTAGAACCAATTCATTCATATTTTATACTGATTTTAAGTTCATTTAAAATTGGCCTATTTAAATTTTAAAGTTGAAAGCGCTTACATAAAAAGCTTCTTTAAAAAAATTTAAAATTGATTAAACTTCTAGTCATAAGATACATTTTTATTCTCTTTATATGTCATATTATATCTTATTTTTAAAAGTAAACAATCCTGATATATCTGTTTAGTTTATTTATCTTTCGCCCGGCCGAAATCCTTCTCTTGCCCTTTCCCGTGAAACATCTTTAGCAGATTGAACTTTAATATTTTACCAGCTTGTCTTTCTTTTATCGACACAGTCGTCCCGTTTAGTTCTCAGAATGGGGGATTTGAACGCAAAGAATCAGTTTTTTTGATACTGACTAACCAATACTCATCTGTTTCTGACCTTTCAATTTACTTTGGGGTATAATTATATTTGTGTATTATAGCTGGCTGAAATTGTAAACCTTGTGCGTTTGAAAAACGTCTAATCTCATATGGTAATTTTCAATTGTAAACGTTTAAATTTAACAATTACACGAAGAGGTGTGAAAAATCAATTGTATTAGCTGATTCCAAAAGCGTTGAATTCTTAAAAAATATTCAAACTAATAAAAAACACACTTTCAGCTCAACCAAAACCACAAATTTCAACTTTCAAAGGACCCAAACACAGCATAAAATCAACGCTGAATAATACGTTTCTCAAACAGGAATGGACGACGAAACCACATAAAACAACGCAGACATTGACAGTAACAAATTAAAAAATAAACTAGAAAAAAATATGTTCCTATAAATAGCAGCGCCACTTGAGTCTTACTATTACATTATAACATTACTTATATATTCAGATATGTAGATATGTATAATACATCATGCGCACTAAAAAGGAAAAGAACCGGCGATAACAGACAAGATAATAATAATAATAATTTTATTTACGAAAAGTATAGTAATTCAGTAAGATAAAACAGAAAAAGATAAAAAAATTAAGGATAAAATACTAATCAAGTTTTAACCAATCTGCACATTTTCTCCCGTGACCTAAAAACAATGCTTGTAACAGGTGGCAGGAGTTATGTCAGTGAACAAAATTGCTAAAAATTAAATGAAAAGAACTTAGGTGTTTAAGACAAAATAAATGAAATAAAAAATAAAAATAATGAATAGAGAAAAAATAAAGTATATTCAATAAATGAAATAAAGGTAAAATAAAATTAAAGAATACAATAATTGACATATGTTGCCAAATGTACCACAAAGAAAGTCCAAATTATAAATTTAAAATTTTTACAGTAATTCATTTTTTGAAATCACAGTGAGAATTAAATATGTTAAAGTTAAATTTATGATTGTAAGGAAACATAAAAACAACTTTTCAACGAAAAATTAAAGTACAAATTAGAGTTTACTTTGGATATAAAAACATTAGTTATTACTTTTTGTCTTGTTTGATACTCAGTGTTTGATTCAGCTAAAAGATTATTTTTCAAAGACATACACACAAGAACATTGTAAAGACAATTGGTTAAATTTTACAATTTGAAAAATACCATACGGTTTATTGCTGTTGAATCTAAAAGGTTTAGAAAGAGAATTTTGAGTTACAATTAATGGATTTAAATAACAATTGTTCCACTCTATGAAACACCATAGCCAATTATATACTGAACTAAGGCATAATAAAGTAATTTTAACTATTTTAAATTGAGGATGTAAGATAATGTATATTTCTAATTAATTAATTTTTATTTAAGATATATAACTTAAAACTTTTATTCATGCTTAAGAACACTTAAAAAACCTTTCGATCTTCTGCTTGAAGTAAGAATAAAATTAAAAATTAAAGATCACCCTGATGATTCATATATGTGCCAAAAATCAATTTCTTCCATATTATTGAAGTAAACTTGATAAGGGAACTTTGTGCGGGGAATGAAGGTTATATGGGAATATGTTTCTGTGTTAATTTTTTTCACATCAAGACTCAAGTAGTGTGAGGTGTTGTATCGTCTGCAAAGGTCAAGATGATGGTTTTAGGATGTCAGCACTTGGTAAAGTGATGGGTCCGAACACTGCTCTGAAGAACACCAGCAAAGAAGGTTAGAATTAGCCTTGAGGATTTAACTTTTAAAAATAATCAAATACACGGAAGCCTTTTTGCCTTCAAAGTTTCTGAAATGATTGTTATTCTCATCTATGGATATTATTCAGAGATATTACAATGTTGCTTGTTTAATAAGACTAGGGTCATTATCACTGTCATGGTCACTGGATAGGAGATCCCACGACCGTCGCCTCTTTAGTCAGCGTGGAGGGTTTGAGAGAATTCGTCGGAATGAGAGATTCTGGATTTAAGGATTTAGGAAACTTGCTGTAATGAGATCTTACTCAAAAGAATTATTTGGGTCTGTTCGAATGCGAATGATATTGGAATATTTTCTGAACCCTTCACTTCCGTTTCGTGTTACAAAGCAGTCCTTCATTTGTGAGAGGTAAGTCTAAGCGTTTATAAATACGTCGTGAAAGAGATTTTTTAGTCCTGTAATAGACAAACGATGATGTAGTCCCAGATACCTTGTCCGCATATTATGTTTCTGTGTTTTTTTTCTCATCAAGACTCAAGTAGTGTGAGGTATCGTCTGCAAAGATCAGGATGATGGTTTTAGGATGTCATTGGTAAAGTAGTGGGTCCGAACACTACACTGAGGAACACCAGCATAGATATATGTGCAGAAAAGGAATAGTTTTTAATGACCGTCAAAACCGGTCGAGGTAGCTTGAAGTATGAGATAGTTTGAGAGAAGGATGTCATTGAGCGTGAACATGCACGGGTGCCAAACCGGATAAAAGACTTGGCATATATCAAGAAAGGCCCGTAACAGTACTGCTCGTAGTCAAGAGAGGAAGAAATTGTAAATTTGCTAAGTTTGAAGGACCGGTTTTTTATATCAATGATTTAACCTAATAAAACGAAATTTGCTAAACAATTACTTTTTAAATCGTCGTTAGATAATTTTTAAGGGTAAAAGTTTCAATTAAACAATCACGTTCAAAGGCAATTCGAAAAAACATAAAATACAACCGTCAGTGACAAACATATTGCGTAATATATCGTAATGTTCTTCTATAGATTTATATGGACAAAAATTAATATTGCCGTTTACTTAATTGTGGAGCTACATGGGCCTTATCAGTACTAAAACCTATATAAAATAGTATTAATGGTTTTAATTTTAGACCGGATAGAGCGTTAAGGGCCCTTTATAAACTACTTCATGACGTAAATGAATAACAGATATAAAATGATAAATTATGCTCTCAGTTTCTGTATTGAATATAATTTCTTGGTATCCGCTCTCTGTACAACATTAGATAATGTTGCCAAGGGGTCTTAATTTAATTCCCCTCTTTTTTTTTTTAAACCTGTCAAATGGTCTAGCTGTAAGGAGTTCAAAAACAAAAGCAATGATAAATTATATTTAAAAAATGTCATTAAGTAGCTGTTTGGTTTTTAAAAGCGTCTACGCATATAAAATATGTCTTAGATTTAAAATTAAAATTACATTACGTAAAATTAAACTTGACTTATTGTTTAAACTTGAATTATTGGCATGCCATAAGGAAATTCGTTCCGATCCTGTAGGTCCGGACCAAAACAATTTAAGTTGGTAATTGAAGTGTTCCAACGACCCTCTAGAATGAATAAACATGATCTTTGATTTTAAAATTAATTATACCAATATTATGCCGGAGATTTGATTGTAATTGAGCAAT